TATGCGTTTTGTTAGTGAACGGAGTTGGGGTAGGGTATTTAAGTAGTATAGTGGATGAAAGGTGGATTGAGATGATATCAGAAAGGAAGAGAATGGTCCTTGGCTATTGCCGCATCAAGTAGTTGATTGATTCAGGGCATTAAGTGAAGGTTTAAGTTGTCTAGATGGCCATTTGACCTCTCTTGTATAGTTCAGGTTCTGTGATATCATGGTGGAGATTAGTGCCGGTAACTGGGAACTCAAATTCGACTCAGTATTGTGAGAACAGGCAGAGGGAAATAGCTATAGCCTGTAGAATACACATCGTATTTTGAATGGCTGCTCATGAGAAGATCAAAGTGAAGATCAAAAGCAGGAGGGGGGAGAGAAGAAGGTGGAAGACGAGCAGATCCCCGAGGGAAGCCGGGGCTCGTGCCTCCCGCCAGAAAGGGAAGGAACGAAGTGAGCCCATCGTCAGTAACATCTCCCATTTCCATCCCCCATCCGCCATCCTTCCAGGCAACAAACTTCCCTCTTCTCCTCCTCCTCCTTCTCCCCGTCCTGCTCGCCCTCCTTTTCTGCTCTTTGTCAGTTTATATTCATTCCTTATTGTGCTCTCTTCCCCTTCGGGCCTGTTTCCACTCCCTACCAGTCGGGGAATGTTCCCCTCCCCTCTGTCTCTGCGTGCCTGAGCGATCGTCGCTTCTGCCTCCGCATCGTCCCTTGCACCTCCGCATTTCCTCTTCAACTGCATTTTCTCTCCCCGCCCACTGCATGGCCCGAAAATCAAGCCACCAGAGGGTCACTTATGGTATGTCTATTGTCTGAAGTCGGTCTGCTGGGATTTACTGCCATCTGCCATCTACTCCCTGGTTACACCACGGCTGCGTTCCGCGCTTATCTGATCCTCCCACTTATGCGCCAAAGTGGACTCGAGACTGACATTCAATCTCTTCTCTTCCCTCTAGTCCTCCCTCTGCCTGATGCCCCTGGTGGGCATAGACTAGGCGTTAATGGTCTGACGGTCGATACGGACAATTCCATCCTGTGAGCCTTCCCCGTCCTCTTGCGCCAGTTGGTCCTCCGCAGACCCGGCTGTGATAAACTCCGCCCGTTACCGAGTCAAAGCCACGCCAGTTCTAACTCCACATTCTTGCAAAGGTATTCCGCTGGTCGCGATGGTGTTGTATGCTCGTGGGACCTCAACCGCCCCCTCTCCGGCGCATCGGCGTCGAAATCCGGTTCGACAACCTTCAGAAACCAAGTCCAGGCTCACAGCCATTGGATCAACGACATTGTCTTGACTAAGAACAACTCGGCGCTCGTTTCCGCATCGTCCGATACCACGGTGCGATTATGGCGACCGCACTCGGAAATCACGGAGGTGCCGCATCCCATCGGCAAACATGCCGACTACGTGAAAGCCTTGGCAACCCCCGGAAATCACTCCTCATGGGTGGCATCAGGCGGCCTGGATCACAAGCTCTATCTATGGGATTTGAATGGCGGCGGTGAGGTCCTTGGCATCGATGCGTGCGGGGAGGATCGGACGGCAAAGGGTTCGGTCTATGCACTAGGCGCTGTATCGTCCGTCCTGGCCAGTGGTGGACCGGAAAGCGTGGTCAGAGTCTGGGATCCGAAATCCGGAAAATTGATCACGAAGTTCGTGGGCCATACCGACAATATTCGAGATATCCTCATTAATCAAGATGGCGATACCATTATGACCGCGTCCTCCGACCAGACGGTCAAGGTTTGGTCGCTGACAGCAGGAAGATGCATGCACACCTTGACAATGCACAACGACAGTGTCTGGTCGCTTTATTCGAATCATCCTCAGCTGTCGGTGTTCTATTCGAGTGATCGATCCGGCTTGGTCGCCAAGACGGACACGAGGCACTCTGCGGATATCGAGCAAGGTGTCTGCGTTGCAGCGCTGCAGGAGCACGAGGGCGTTATCAACGTCGTAGCTGCCGGAGACTATATCTGGACAGCAACACCGAAGTCTAGTATCAATCGGTGGAGGGATATTGATACCACAGCCGAGATAGAAGCCCCAGCTTCAGGGGAACGAAAGTCCAGCGCTGAAAAGGATGCGGCTAAAGGAATGCCCAAGAAGATACCATACGAATCGGTTCTCTTACTATCAAACACATCTACGTTCCCTAATTCGAGAGTTCCTCACGACGCGGCGCCAGGCGGCGCATCACATGCACAGGGCCAAGCTTCCGGCTCAGACATGGAGGATGAACTGGGATTGACCCTGCCCGTCCAGTCCTTGCCAGAGGAGACTATCGAAGGACAGCACGGATTGATCAAACACTTCATGTTAAATGACCGCAAACGGACTTTGACCCAAGATTCTGCGGGTGAGGTTGTCTTATGGGATCTTCTCAAGGTATGCTATGATCTTGGTCGGGACCGAACAAATGCTGATAGCTACAGTGTAAACCTATTCAATCCTTTGGCAAGCGGCATATGGATGATGTGGCCTCTGAGATTAACACCACGGAGAGTATTGCTCACTGGTGCACGATCGACATCCGCACCGGAAGGTTATCAGTGATTCTGGAGCCAGGACGCTGCTTTGACGCGGAGATATACGCCGACGAAACAGACATAGAAGATAGTTCGCAGTTCCGCGACGACCAGAGAAGTATGACAACAACTCTACAGTTGCTGCGTGATCGAGTGCTGATGACGAGCAGTCAACCTAGGCAAATGGATATTGCGCTGGCTCTTTGCACCACTGGTCGATGAGCACGTTCGGCGTGATGCCCAGTATCGTGCCATGGCAGTTGCAAGAGCGGATGAAATGGCCAAACTGACCACAACGAGTGCCTCTGCGCCAATGGATATACCGTCAGCAGATGGTTCAAGGCGGCCGTTAGGTCTGCAGACTCCTATAGATGCCTCATTCTCAACCTTCCGGTCCGGATACGACACTCTTGGTAGCCCTACGACGCCCGGCTTTGGTATCGGCTACGCAACAAGTCCGGGGACGTTAGGGTCACCCGTGCTACCACCACATAGCTACAACAATAATAGCTACTTTGGGACATCTATCGGCGAGACTTCGGACTTCCTGTCATCACAACAAAACCCGGACCTGACTCGAACATCTTTCTCGGACCGGTCGAGCGATTACTTTTCCTCTTCGTCCAAACCCCCGGGTCTGACTCCGCTAGACACAGAGAAGGCGCCAGCGACGCCCGGAGAGCCGACGCCAACTGCTCTGCCTCAATCACCGGTCGAGCCTGACAAAGAAGAACGAAAGAGGGGAGGATCTATATTCGGGAAGAAGTTTCGGATGGATTTTCCCAAGAGAATGGGCCGGTCCTCGTCGGAAGCCAAGCCCCAGATCCAAGAAGAGAAGATTGAAGAATCGGACAAGTCTTCTGTCAAGGAAGAGAAGGTGTTTGAAACCAATCTGGGTGGCTTCATCGAGCGAACCCGGCATGAGTACGAGGAATGGCTGTCTGCCAACCCGGGGCAGGAGTTGGTGTCCGCCTTTGCTCCTAGTCCTGACAACGAGACACCCGCACTGCAGATACCTCCTCGCACGGCCGTATTCATCCAAGAGGAATCTGGCGACACGGCAGTGGCTTCGGACTTGTACAGGGGTACTGTGGCAGGCATTAGTCAGGAGATTGACAAGTTGGAGAAGTCCATCCCCTTATGGCTTGCGGACTTGCTGCTCAAGGTATGTAAACCCTCTTTGACTATGGTATCCAGCTAATATAGGTAGAATCAAATGCCATTGAAAGAGCCAGTTAAGATTGCGTTTACGCTAAAACCTTACGACGATCTTCTGCCGCCTGTGGTCAAGCCAGAGTATGTACAGTGTACCCATGGAAGAGTTGTGACTAACAAGGACAGGCCGGCTACGAGCGCAAACGCGAACAACAATCGACTGAACGCCAACCGCATGCTTCGAGCCAAGAAGATCCTTGCGTACGTTGCAGAACGGATCGACCCACCTAACCCCGATGAGCCCGAAGAGGATGCGATGAAGCCGGAAGAGTATCTGGAGTTGTATTGCCAGAAGATGGTATGTAGCTTTAGTGTCCATGTACAAGTGGAAATGCTAACCAAAACAGCTGATCCCGCCAAACATGACTCTTGCGACAATTCGGGCACACATCTGGCGCTCGTCTGGGGATATGCTACTGTATTACAAAGCGAACGGAAAGAAGGAGATCAAAACCACTCCCGACGGAGAGAGCAACCACCTTGAGGGTGGCTCTCATCGATTCCTTGATCCCGCAAGCGCCGGCGGAGAAGCTGGAAGCGTGCCCCCAGGGAGCATCCACTCGCTGACAGCCTCAGGGTCGGGTGCTGCCTCAATCAGCAATACCTGATGCGTGTGGTATTAATTCTCTGTGTATATTGGTGTTGGCATACCGAGTGTATGGCTGTACATAAGCAATAACAAGTTAGCGTAAATCAACCAGTTCTACGGATATGTTGAATGAATGCATGCACATCAGACTATACTAAGAGGTGGGAGTGACATCTGCATGAATAGATGATCTTCATGCATAACCACGGGTTCGGAGACTATTTTGGTTATCTGCAGTGTTAACGGAGCTCTCACGTGCTGTCACGGGTCTAGATAATATTCATTCAATGGGGGAGGAGATTCGAGAGAAGAACGTAGAACAAATTATAGTACTATCATTTCCTTTTATCTTCAAGATCATTGATTGGTAAATCTACAGGAGACTTCCAATGTAACAGGATTATCATGCAATCTCTAACCCCACTGGAAAATATATAAAGGCACCATCACATCCTGATATGGCTACCAAAAGTAATAGTGTACCATCTCCCCCTCATCCCCGCTTCTCTTCACAACTAACCCACATACCAACTTGACTACTAGCCACATCATGTCCAAATCATCATCTCGATTCACCCCCTCCTTTCGCCTCCACAAACAACGAACATCTAATAGTACCACTCCCTCAACCCAACCCACCCCAGAAACAATATCCGATCCCGATCCCCAACCCCAACCGCAGACCCAGACCCAAATCATGAACCCCAACATCAATCTCACCATCGAAACCATTCACGCCCCCTCTACCACCCCGCCCAAACGAACCAGCATCACAATCTTCCTCGCCGGCAGCACTCCCCCTTCACCCACAACCACCAGCAAAGACTCATCCAATCCAATCCGCATCTCCTCCTTCTCCTCCTCTTCCTCCCGACGAGACCACCAACAACAACCACCCCCAACATGGCGCGATACCTTCTCCACCCACCTAGCCCACTACTTCCTCCCAAAGCCACAGCCACAAACACACCCAGACAACACCCACACCAACACCAATACTACCCCCCAAACCATCCACCTAACAATCCTCGACCCCTTCCGTGCAGACTGGGACAGTTCGTGGCGCGAAGACCCCTCTTTCCCGCCGTTCAAGGAACAGGTCTCGTGGGAGATGGAGCAGCGGGAACGGGCTGATATCGTGCTGTTTCACTTTGATCCTGCGAGTATGGCGCCGATCAGTTTGTTGGAGTTGGGGTTGTGTATGCGGGAGCCTAGCAAGGTGGTGGTTGTTTGTCCCAGGGGGTATTGGAAGAGTGGGAATGTGAGGTTGGTTTGTGAGAGGTTTGGGGTGCAGGTGGTGGAGGGGTTGGAGGAGGGGGTGGGGGTTGTGGGGGAGTTGGTTGAGAGAATTAGGGTTGGGAAGGAGAGGGAGAGGGGGGGTTGTTGATTGTTGATTGTTGGATGGTGATGGGGGGAGTTTTGGAAGGAATTTGTGGAATGGTTGGTATTTGGTTTAGGGGCTTTGTTTGGGTACTGGGGAGTATCATAGATCATGATGATAAAGCCTGATTTTGGTCAACGGATCTGCTGTGTCATAGCCCGATGTAATATATACGTTTAGAGAGTTTGGAAGTATATTATGTAGCTGGTAGAGGCAATTAGTACTAGTAAGTATTATGTCTCTACAGCAGACCAGCAGACCATGGCTAGAAAGCGGCAACACGATTAGCATCAAATAGGGGATAAGTTGCTGTTTAGTTCAAACTTTCAATTCCGATTGCCATGCACTGGAGAATGAAATGTAGAGCACTGATAATAAAAGATGCTGGAGATACCGAAAACCACATCAAGATCTTTCTGCATTTCATTAGGGCAGTATTTGCTTCGAGATATCCCATTTTCTCTACTCAACAGCATGGTCATATAACAAACGCTCTCTGTTGGAAATGAACATCATCATAACTATATATATAACTCATTGTACACCACCATTCAACGGAAGAAGAAAGCCGTTGAAGTAGGGTAAGGGATGTGCAACACGCTGGGAATGAAATCCACATATGCTGCTTGTTTTGGATTCCGCAATCGACCCTCAACATATCATGTGTGATGGCTACTGAGAAGTAGCGGATCTAGGTACAGCCTGGTTTGAGAGGTGTGCTTGCCCGATCAAGCGTCTCGATCTGTCAGTGTCGGATCTATACTTCTTGTGGGAATTCACGAGAGGAAGAATTGATAGAAAAGCCGCCAAGTCAGAAGGAACTAGAGGTCCTTCATTGAGTATGACTCCCTTGACAGGAAAGGCGTTTTGACTGAGCCACTGAAGTAGTATGCTTCTATCTGGTCGAAGTGAGGCTTTTCTTTGTCTTGCATTAACCATTCTGAGCATATTTGCACAGGAAAAGGCAGATGCTATTATCTGTAACGGGCAGGAGGAATGGTTAGATGACGAGCTATCTTCCAGTGTGAAATTCGTAATCTCCTGGGAAAGCCCTATATTACTTTTGTCACATGGCACATGGTTGTTCTTGACAGCGCGAATAAGCCGTACTACTCCAGCGCAAATACGCCGTTTCGAATCGGACTTTTGGCATTGAAGCGGACTCTCGCGTATTCCACTTTCCCCATCCTAGTCCAAGAAGACTACTACTACCTAATCTTCCCTTTCAGGTCTAATCTTCTCTCTGTCTATCCAGTCAGATACAACCCCCCATGTATGACAAACGCGTAGCTGAGGGTTCAGCAAGGTCCGAAATAGTCTCTGACTTGATGTGAACAGCCGCACCGTGAACCCCCATCCGAGGTTCCATTACGTCGCAGATTGCAGTTGAGTTTGAATTGAAAACAACATTGGCAATCGTTGGATAGGGGAAAGGTAGCAATATTAGAGACTAGAGAGAATGGGTAAGGGTGGTAGCCATAATAGGGAAGCGGTAGATGTAACTGTGAGAGGATATGGTGACAGTACTGATGGATGTGGTAGTGGTAGTAGTGATGATGAATATAAGTATTGACAGACCAAGACGCACCATGATCTGATGGATGGTAATATTCTCTTGGTCTTCTTGGTAGTATTCTCTTCAATCGTGATAGAAGCAGTTGTGCTAACAGTATAGATGGCAGCAATAGTAGTCATGGCAGTCACCGGCGCACGAGCACGGAGTGTATGCCGGTACAGACTCATCGATACAAATATGCTTTATGTAGGTCCACATCTCAGTCAAACGTGCAGAGTTCTGCGGGATCACCACATTCTCGTTATCTACTCCTGATTCCGAGAAGACGGGGACACCCACGAAGTCCTGCGACATGAATGATAGAGCAATGTTAATCAATCCTATGGTTCAACTAGGGAGATGATGCACGATGAACCTCCTGGAGAGTACAGGGATCCTCAGATGAGGCCGGAATCATACAAAACCCGCCCAGGACAAGGTATATCCTTGAGCTGCGCGTTGTCTCTAACTGGCTTGTCGGAATCACTGTAGCAGTACAATGGCTTGCTGGCCTATTTTTCTATTACCAAGTCTCAGGGATTCTGTTCAGGCAGTCAGTCGTCAGTGTGCGGATGATTTCGAAGCAGCCATGGGGTAATTTGTATCTGTTTTGCCAGAGATTATATTTTCTGGTCCTTTCTGAATGAACCCCTTGTGTTCGATGGTGTCATGTCTTCATGGTGCCGGGAGGTGTACCGGTATGAAACGCTTGCGAATTAGTAGGAGCATTCAGCATCACACCAACGATTATGCGCTATATCCGTGCTCGTTTACTTGGCGCGGTACTGGAGCGTGTTTCCTTGTATGCTGCTCGACGGCCACGCCGCATGTTGTTTCAGGAACGTCACATATCTTGTAAAATATATAATTCTTTCCGATCAGACCTTCGGAGAACCCCACCTGAGCACATGGAATCTCTCTTTATATATTCAGCAAACGCATAGAAGGCACAGTGGGCGAGACTGAGCGTCACTGATTAAGAACGGTCGCATCCGTTGTCTCTGAAACCAAGGGACGAGCACCCACATGGGCTAGTGTAGACGCTGTTAAACCCTAGATTGACCATGTCACTTGTCCTATAAGTATCAATGGATTCGTGATTAATGAGTATGTATCGTCGCATCTGTGACTTTGGAGACGTAGAAGCGATAGTATATAGACTTGTTTATAACTGATGACTGATAGTGCATGTGGAAGAGGCACTGTTGGTCATATCTTTTTGACCATAAAGGAGGAACACCAGTCATGCGTGGTCGCTGCAATATCGGCACATGGTTTTGGTCTTGGGGCTTTCATCTTCATATTTTCTGCGAAAGCTGTTGCAATTGGGGGTAGAGATTGACTATTGTGTCCCACAGAACTTCTACCTCTAAACGACTCCCCATTCTGTTGGTTTCATGAGCGCCAAAAGCCCATGGGGGTTCTCCCTCCCAGGGTCTTCACCTGTATATAGATGGCTTGTTTGATGACAATGCTGAAGAGGATGATAGCCGAGGGAAACGGCAGTCCTTTTTATAAGGTGGTTGCTCGTTGAAAGGCTTCCACATTGTGTAGGGAGCTTCCGATAATATGGAGGAGAGATCAAAAGGCAGAGACAGCGGGATTCTCCGGAAGTGCATCTAGAAACATGCAGAATGGAATTCTCCGTTGTGGTTAGGATTTTGTGGAAGTCTGCAAACATACTGCTTAACACATAGTGTACTAGGTGTCTGTATCCATCTGAAACAATCTTCGTGCTTCTACTAGGCTCTCTGAATTACCAAGTTCATCCCATCAAGTCTGCGTTCAAGGTTTTGATACACTGCAGCCAATGTTCAGGACCATTAGTAGTGGCCCGAGCTAAGCCAAACCAGACCTATGAGCTTTTGGTATTTCGAGAGGAGGTGTGGTACAATAATCCATCATTATCATCACTTGAGGCCAGTCCTCCAATATTGTTCCATCATCTGCCTAGCAGTTAGAGGCTTGATTTCCGGGAACATTTCGTTCAAACTCCCCTGCCTAGAAATCCGCGCCTGACCCGTAGTCATCCAAGTCTCAACGATGGCCAAGAACCACTGAAGTCTGTCTTTGGGAAACTTGCTGTACGACTTGACATGACCGGGTAGTTCGGTAATTTTTGATGCCTTGAGCTTCTCTACAGCATCATGGGTGACGTCAAACTTCACCCCCTTTACCTCCTCGGCAAGCTTCAACAACTCATTGAATGTCATTTCGTCACCGACAATGCGAAGCTCCCGTGGCCACTCTTCGAGGTCCAAGGCAGCAACAACGAAGCGCGCAATGTCGAAAGTGTACGTGAAAGTAATTGGCACATTGCCATCCCCTGGAATGGCTGCCATATTGTTCTCCACATCAAGCACCAGCACACTGTGGGGATGGTACGACTTCAGTGTTGGGGGTGCGATGTATTCCAGAAACGTGCCATTATAGACAGGAGCCCATTCGAGGTTACTATTTTCGAGGGCCTTGAAAGAGGCAAAGTAGTGTTCGAGAGGCGGAAGAACAGAGACGTCACTGCGCAAGTTAGAGGTCATGGTATGAACAGAAAGTTGGAAACTCACTCTTCGGGATAAGGAATTGCAAAAGAGCTAGGAATGAATCTCATTGTTACTGAAGACGCTTCAGCAGCCTTGATGAGATTTAGTTGCGACTCTGCGAGAGAGGTAGCGTTGATGCCAAAGGCGCAGATGATCGTGTGGATACTGTGATCTTCCAGGAATAACTTGAGCGAATTGATATCTTCATAGTTGACTTGGAATGTCGGGGCAGGTAGCTGGTCATCTCTACTGGGATCCTAGGAACAATCAGCTGATTTGTAGTACGCAGCGCAGTAAGCCAGGCTGACTTACTCTTCGTGTGAGGGCGAATGGCCGATGGCGGGTCTGGGAAGCCATCACCTCCAGCAGGGTACGCCCGACAGCACCTGTCGCGCCCGCAATAGCAACATTGACCATCCTGAGACGAATTTGCCAAGAACCCGATGCCAAATTATTATGACTGTGATCTGTTCAGCAAGGTGGAGGGGTACAGCGCCCTTTAATGTACTTGTGTTTGGTGAAACAATGACGGAGTTAACAACCGGAGATAGGGCTGAGATGACAGTTGGACCAGCTTGGCCGACTAGTCGCAAAATTGTCGGCCCACATCATTCTCCTAAATTGCAGAACCAAATGCTTCCCTCTAGTCTATTGGATCAAAGGACTTAGAGTGTGAAGCAGTACGATTTTGAGTACCAGCAAGGGATATTGGTGGACAATTGTATCACGTGACTCAAAGCAAGGAATGCCACACACGTGACAACGAAATATCTTGCGCTTTACTTGTTTGGGCGCTGTTTCCTTTGTATCAGCCACTTTATGTGACCTCCTCCTTACGGGCATCGTCCCTGATTGACGGCCTAATGTGATGCTTCTCTTATCAACTAATCGCAGTATCCTTCTAATGCCACTGCTGAGATCTTTCTCAAGATGGAAAATCATAAACAAGCACAACCGTATGAACTCTTAGTTGACCTATTCCTGTCAGAAGAGATTTTGGACGTCACAACCACCCGCGACTCCTCCATCATCAACATTAAGGAGGTAGTGAGACGGAGTCCCAGGTTAAAACGATTTGCTGGGCATGCAGATGACTTTCTTAAGCCTGTGTTCATCGACAAGGGTCAGCAAGGGTTTGTTTTCCGGTTTGAACACAACAAGCGAGATCTCTGCTTGAAGTTGGTAGGTTCCCTATCCAATGGAACATACTCAAACTAAGAATCATTGTTATGACTAAAAGTACGTACAGTTATATGACTACCAAGCACCCTACACTGTCCAAGAAAGAACCTTGGCCTTCATCTGCCCGTTTGCATGTGAAGCACGTGCCTTTGCGCGTCTATGCGATTTGCACGAAAATGGTCACTGGGCAGTGCAGTGTCATGGGTGGATGTATCTGACTGATTCCCAACTCCAGCAGCTTCAAAGAGTAAGTGGAAGAGAAAGGCATGACCCAAGCTGGAATAACGCCCGCTGGGCGATTGTCAAAGTCTTCATTGCAGGAGAGCCACCAAGCCGACAAGATGAAGAGTTTCAGCAAATCATTTCAGACTTCGTCATTCCGAGACGCGGTTATATTATGCCCCAGGATGTCAAGAAAGATAATTATAGAGGTACATTAATCGTAGATTTGGGGTCTACTTTCACCTTTCCATTTTATCGATCCTATGCAAGCCTGTACGAGTTCAATGCCATCTACAAGAGCATAGATGAATATGGATTACCTTATTGGGATTAAGCTTGTCAACTTCCTTGAAAGCGGCACAAAAACATAGACCAAGTCGATGCTGCATTCGATAAAATGCAATGAGTACCAATTTACTAGCATACGCAATAAAGCGAGGACAAGGAATCCCCAGAAAAATAAGATTGTAAGCAGTCCCATAAAGCCCCACGTTTCACGAGCATGATAAATGATAAAGCGAAAATAGACCCCTTAATTCCCCTGTCAACCTAGATAAATACTAGAGTTATTAAGATAGCGCTGAAAACCCTGCAGGCCCAATGAGTTAAATGAACAAGACTCCAAATTCCCGATTACTACCTCTCTCCTTCCATATCTTCCATTAATCCTCACTTGACAAGAGCTACATTATCTTCTATCTACTTATCCATTGTAGCTGGAGTTTGGCATCTCCCAGGACCCAGAAGATGAGCTGGACTTGGGGATGGGTTCGGGCTCGGCCACGGGCTCAGGTTCAAACTCCTGAGGAGGACACTCATCAGTTGGGATAGGTGATCCGAAATCCTTACCCGGGGTAGAAAATTCCCAGTTGGAGGATGATATTTCTTGCTTCTTCTTCTTCTTTTTCTTGGAAGACGCCGACGGCCAGTTTCCCCAATCATCCTCAAATGCGGGTTCTGAAGCAGGAGGTTCACATTCCGGAAGAGGGAGTTCGAAATCTTTCCTGGGGATAGGATGTCCCATATTTATCAAACTTTTCTCCCGTTTCTTCCTCTCTTTGTATCCGAGTTCGTCCCAGTCCGAATAGAGAGGGTGAAAGGGTATTCCAGGAGCTATAAATTCAGGCTCAGGAGTAGGCTCTGCTTGCTCTGGCTCCGGTTCTGGAGTTGAAGGTTGTCTTGGCTCTTCTTCAATGGGTTTGAATAGTGGCTCATGATCACATGAATCGTCACACGGAAGATCAAGCTCAGGCTCAAGCTCAGGCTCAAGCTCAGGCTCAGGCTCAGGCATAGGCTCATACGCAGGCTCAGGCTCACAAGCAGGCTCAAGTATAGCATCAGGCACAGGCTCATGATATCCCCTTGAACTGGCCAAGCTCTTCACGTGGTGTAATCTGTCTTGCTCTCTTTCGTATAGTGCCAATACTTCATCAAAAAGGAATTTATCGAAGCTTCCACTATTTCCGACCTCATAGTCCCTTATGATTTGTCTCAGCTTTCCATCTGTGTTTATAAAAGCCACATCCAATTGGTCTCGAACGAAACCCTCAAGCCACGTGCATCCACAATGGTTCGAGAGAAGGCTTCCGTAAACACGTCTAATAGCACGCAGAATATCATCTATTGACAATCTCTCGGCGAATCGGGCCATGAAGTGCTGTGCCATGCTTAGTAGCCCTGGAATCTCGTACCGAACGGCAGCCTGATATACATAGACTGCGCGCTGGAACTCTTCTCTATCACGAGAGTTGAGTATTGTGGGGATGTCATCCGCTGACTGAGGGATGCCGAGCGGGGTTTTAAGTGTCTCATACTGTCCAGTGTACAAGTAATGAATGAAGGTATGGGCACTTTGCGGCTCAATGCACAGCTGGTGATTATGGCGCCCACTGTCCCAGTATTCATTGTACATAACCTCTGGTTCGAATTGCAAAGTTTTATATGGTCGGAGGTACTGCTGTGGAATCCTGTAGTAGCTGCCGTTGACCTTGAGGGTGATGATGGGAGTCGTATAAGGACTACATTTCAATGTTAGCAACGACTCAATAGCACTGAAGGTATAGACCTAATATATCATTGCGAGGAGGTGCGAGGATGGAAAAAGAGAGAGGGATGGCCCTTACCATTCAGCTACCTGGGCATATTCTTTGAGCTCTGGGATAAATGGGTCCACTGGTTGCTCGGCCATGCCATCCTCAGGTGCGGGCGGTATAGGCTCCTCCGCCATGACTGTGGTAGATCTTGCCTTTTTCTTTAACATCTTTTTTTTATTCATGGTGATACTTGTGTCGAGAGTGTGCTGGCACCTAATGGTGGTGGTGTCTGAAAGTCTGGGAGAACGCCTTCATATCTGGAATCCAACGCGGTAATAAACAGCCCCAGGATTTGGGTGCCACCGCGGGGATGAATCCAGCCCCTAGACGCAACGGACACGTCATACTTATCGCTGCATGCAAGGCTACGATGCTGGAGACATGTTGGTGTGTGTTGGCACGCAAAATAGTTGCGGGGTTCTATACTGCTGGAACGAGGCAGCTTGTAAGAGTGGCAGCATGGCATACCCATTTGGCTCAAGAGCAAAGCATGGAACTGCGAAGCGCCAGCTGATGCTATTGCCTACAGTAGCACCCTGTGAGCTATACAGCGAAACTGTTGGTGGTGTTGTACTTCCTTTTCAGGACAGCTGGAACAGATTCAGCCTTGCGCGCTTTCTGCCGGTGGAGTATTGCATGACAGTTTCTCAAGGGACTGCATCAAATACCCCCAGGAGCTGAGAGCCTATCGATATGAGTGACTAACAGATAACCAAGCGCTTAGGTGGAGTACATGAAGCATAGCATCTAGGTGCCACCATGATAGCTGTTGGACGGCTCAGCACTAACCGGAAGGAACCCCAATTATGTTGTCCGAAATCTGTTGTGTCTGCTAAGGATGCAAGCTCGCTGGCAGTATTTCTGGCTGTGGCAGCCAACATACTGATGCCGTTATGCCACCTTGCCCGGCAAGCTTGCCCGAGGCTGTACACATACCCCGCCGGACACCCCTGCTAGGCGCCTGCGTCAACTTGCATCTGCCTGCTGCGGCGGCAAAGGAATAATATCTTGACGTCCAATCACTTTAACGATTGTGACCAGCGATGTCTAGAATACCGCTAACGCCTTTTTGTATGATAGACAGCCTTGTTAGGGTTCCCTTTGGGCTCGTCCGGCACAGCCACTTCCCCAGCCACACATAGGCGCTGGGGAGAAGAAATGACGATACTTTGCAGATGGGTGTCCAATATATAGTGAAGCAACAAGCCTGGTTAATTATCGTACCAGTGACAGGCCTGGAAAGCCTCTTCTCTGCAGTCTACGGATTCTTTCAGCTCTAGGGATTCTATTCTTCGGTTCTATTCTTCGGTAGAATCGTTACAACATACTTCTTTCCTCCCATTACTGGCAGCCCTATCATATCACATCAGCCCCTATTACATCAGCCCAGTCATGCCAGCAGCTTCAACATATGAGCAACGGCAGATCTTTCTTGCCTGCAGGGCCATCTTCAGCGGTGCGAATGCAAGCATACGGAAAACGAAGACTATCCGCACACGCTTGGAAATGCATGAGAGCTCCTTGAGAAGGCTGATTCCAGGTTACCATCTCACTAGGGTAGTGTCGATTGCCAAGCTTCTTCTAGAGAAAGGCCTTTTCGGTTCGAAGGCCAAGGCTGAAGCCTATTTTCCTGGTCTCTTTGACCCGTGTCCCGTACGGCAAACGCTGAATGCAGTGCTTGAACAGGAAGCGTCTCGCTCAAATGAAGAAGTGCTCGAGGTGGTTTCACAATCGTACGAAGAACACGGGAGTGAAGGAGAAGACGACCGAGGAGACGCTGTTGCAGTTCCAGCCCCTGGACTAGCAGATGTTGATTTCACCCAAGAGGTGAAGGTTGAGCAAGACATGAAGGTTGAGCAGGGCATGAAGGTTGAGCAGGGCATGAAGGTTGAGCAGGGCATGAAGGTTGAGCAGGACAATGATTCAGGTATGAAATGTGTAGATGGCGGGATGTCCTCTTCTATTCATTAATAACGTGGATTTCGCAGATGAAACATTGACCCCTGAGAGACCCCCAGCCTCGCTATTCCCATTGTACCTGCCCTATCATGCCCAGCATCGAATCTTGACCAATGTGCAGCAAGTCCTAGAGGAGTGCATATTCGACTTCATGAAGAAGTGGCTCCCTAACTATCTTGAAAGGAACGGATGGGACTGTGCTGCAGCTGTTGAGCTGACCAAGTGGACGAAGCATCCTTTCCGATGGACATCCCAGATACCAGAAGAGGCTCTGCACCCAACAGACCTTAAAATCGAGTCGATCCTGTCGAAAATAGTGAAAGTGCGCCATACTGCTGTACATCGACTTCCGACGACTGCACGCGGGGTTTGCGATCTTGTTGGGATTGCCAAGCAGTTGACTGAAACTCTTGGAGATACCCCACGCACTTCACAGCTTGAGAACCTCCATCATGATCTGCAGGATAAGATCCAAATCCTCGAGTTCAACAAGAATGTTCTGGAAGAAAATCTAGCTTGTCATCTCAGAAACATTGAGGCAGAGCGCGAACTTTTGACTCGTCGGGAGGAGAGGCTGAGAGCCAAGACAGTCGAGGATGATAGGGAAAATAAGCTTATGATGGGCCTCTTGTTAGAGGAGTCGATGGAACAGATATTCAGAGTTGAGGAGGTTCAGTCGGAGACTGGGCGAAAGTGGTTGCGTCTTGGCAACAAATGGACATCCTTTACTGGAACCGTTTCAGGCTGGGCTCAAGACAGACTGGCTAAAAACGCTTTAGCGCTTCGTCTCGGGATCTTTGCTCTCTTCTGTTTTATTATGGTGTTCGTATGTGTGGTAGGGCGGCGCTTCATGTATTTAATTCGCATTTTGTAGGACAGATGAGCGATGATCGGATTTAGCATTGAAGAGCACTGCCGTATTCATTATCCTAGCGACTGATCAGTGGGCGTAACTCCCCATGGATGGACAGTACTTGGTCACAGGTACCGCACAGCATAGGCTGGGAGATACCGTGAACACATCATCGAAACACCTATTCTTGAGCCGCGAGAATATTGTAGGTCAAGAGAGAAGATCAATGAAAACGCTAGAAAAAGAAAAAACAAGGTCCTTGCTTTAATGTGAATGGATTGTCCAAAGGACTTGATGTCTTTCTACTTCCTAATGTGATCTCCACGGTGATCACCGTCCCATCACAGTCAACTTCCAATTTCCGAAGGTGTGGCTTAGACACTGTGAGTATCTGGTTGGACGCAACGCCGCGCGACGCGCTGTGACGGCGTGGCCCTAACGCAGTCGGTTCCCTTTAGTGACACAAACCAGGAGGGGAACTACTACTAGTGATATGAGGCCCACTGGTACTAGTTGATGAATCCTATTGGATAACAATATAGTGTTGTTATGTACATAGCCTCGTAGAACGGCTCGTCGACTTCAGGTTGGAGTGGGCATAGCCGCCCAATTCCGGTGCAGTCTAGCCTATTGGCCATAGTGCAAAGACTAATTTACTAGCTGGGCGTCGTGATGAGAGACATTGTAGCATAGAATACTGTCTGGCGAAGCACAAGGCTGGCGCTAACTGACCCCAGCACTAACAGCCTGACCACTAACCTTTGGGCCTAGTGAAACAACAAAAGAGGCAAGTGCTGTGCCGCTCATCCATGGGTGTCTGAAGGTGCCGCTCTTGGACGGGTTGAGGCAGCGTTATTCTAAACCCCTTTCTTTAGTAGTGTGAAATATAATGCCGCCGGCGCTCCTTCCTCTTCGTATTTCTCACTCGAAGCTTCTCTCCTTGCCATCATATCTGCAGTTTGCTTCCAGTATCGGTGCTTTCACATGTCTGATCCAGTCACAGGCCGAGAAAGGGCCCGCAAGTTGGTCCAGGGGATCTCCGAGAGACATGGATATCTCGGAGAAGATGTTCTCAGTCTGATGTCGGACGAGGTCCGTCGCCAAGTCGAGGAAGCGATGCTAAGGAAAGATGAGATGATTGGGTCTTCTGTGGTGACGTTAGCAGCTCTTCCTGGGTTTACTTACTAGTCATTTCTGACAAACGCCACCAGATTGTCCAAGAACCTTTACAATAGCAGCGCGCGCTTCGTTTTCGAGCTGGTGCAAAACGCCGATGATAATCACTACACGGTAGCCAGAGGGCGCGGAACTGTTCCCTCGCTTGCCTTCCACGTCTACCCGCGTCGTATTGTCATAGACTGCAATGAGGATGGCTTCACACATGAAAACCTTGTGGCGATCTGCGATGTCGGAAGGAGCTCCAAGACAGGTGCACAAGGTTACATTGGTGAGAAAGGCATTGGCTTCAAATCAGTCTTTATGGTAGCCTGGAAAGTGCATATTCAGTCTGGTGACTTTTCCTTCTCGTTCCGCCATAAGCCAGGAGGTTCGGGAATGGGGATGATCTCCCCAATTTGGGAGGACGTTGAGGAACAGCTGCAGAGACCGATGACCCAAATCACTCTCTATCTCCATGAGGATACGGCTCCGCGTGAAACCGCTATGCAACAATTTCGTGATCTTCAGGACACCCTGCTGTTGTTCACAAAGAACCTCCAACGGCTAGAAGTCTCTATGTATGACGATAATGAAGAGCAAATATCGTCAACGGTGTTTGCAATTAGCAGCCAGAACGAAAATCACAAGGTGCTGAGAAAAACAGTCATTCGAGATGGTACAACGGAGGAACTCGCGCGGAACTACCACTTGACCAAATACATCGCGCACGGCCTTCCTCGAAGTGAGAATCGTACATATACTGACAAGGAAGAGGGGGCCCTGGCGTATAGTAGAGCAGACATCATACTCGCATTTCCAGTGAGCCAGGATTTTGTACCGATCATTGAACCACAGGATGTTTTTGCCTTCCTTCCCGTCCGCAGTATGGGGTTTACCGTAAGCATTCTACAGTGAGATGCTTTTTTATGAATGTCTGCGTTGACCTTGCCTGGCAGTTTTTGATCCACTCAGACTTCGTTACCGATGCAAGCCGACAGGATATCGTCCGCTCTTCGGCGCGAAATCGCAAGCTACGAACTGAAATCGCCAACGCCTTCAATACAGCGATCTTAGAGATGTGCAAGCATCCTGCATTACGATATACATGGATGCGCTACCTTCCTAAACGCGACGGACATCATTGGGATCTTTTCTGGGTGGACCTGTTGGATGAGTTGAAGTCACGATTGATATCGAGTCCGATTATACAAGGCCGTACCAGTGGACTTTGGTATCCCATCGAGCAGATGCGGCGTCTATAGGACTTTTGGTATGATAAATCTGGAGACCCTCTCTTTCCAGATTTGCCACGGGAACAGTATACTTCTGCCCATTATGCGGAAGAAGACATTGCGCGGCTCATGGATTATGGGCTAAGCTTTATGGCAATGTCTGACATGATTGCAAGGGCTAGGATGGACCTTCAATCCACACATTCCAAAATGAAGAACAGGGAGACCAGCGAGGACTGGCACTCTCTTGCTGCGACAGCCCTCAGCCACTCCTTTCGCTTGGGATTTGATACCTGTATGGAGGAGGTCAAAGCTCTGCCCTTGATTCCTCTGACAACGGGCAAATGGGTGTCTATCAAGAAGCGGGCTGTCTACCTTTCATCTATTAGTGTATCGAGATCCCCAGCAGCCTTGGAATTGACCTTGTAACTCCACGGGCAGCGAGTAACCCACAGCGTAAACAGCTGTTCAAGGATCTAGGGGTCCAGCAGGCATCTGTCGATTTCGTTCGGAAGTTGATCAAGGAGAAGTCTTCGGGGCTTTTTGCTACTCCCATGTGGAGGGAACGTCTGCTTTTCTTGTATTTCACAGAACGTCTCGGTTCCACTAGCTCTCAGGCTCTACTCATGGAATTATTCAACGGTAAGGGCCCGGCATTTTTCGATCATAAGGGTCAGATAAAACAGCCAAAGTTCGACCCGGTCTACTTTCCCAATGATGATCCATATGGTGCGAAGGCACTGCTGGAACCCATTCAAGGCGGAGCTCCAGGCTTAAACGTCTCGTTCATTAACGAGGAGATATATTTACGTGATCCTCCATCGTGTCCTCCAAATGAGCAACGAACATGGATCGAGTGGCTACAACAGGTATTCCATGTCCGGGAGACCGTCTCACTCATAGAACCGAGGGATTGCCTGTCAAAAGCCAGACTAGGGCGAGAATGCCTTTATGTCGCGCAGCACCGACCGGAAAAATTCATGGGGCTGCTTTTAACCTGTTGGGCGGTCGACGGGTCTAGGATCATTCGACAGCCAGAACTGGTGGATGAGATTCGCAAGATCAAGGTACTCTGCGAAAATGGCTCGAGATATCCATTGGGCAGTACCTACATTCCCATCCCGGACCGGAGGGCGACGGTTTCAAGGTTCCTGAAGGACCAGAAGTTCTTCCCGTGGTTGCAATTGGATCAGCCCATGGATGGAGGGAGCCTTACACAGCAGTGGATAGTATTGACAAAGGCTCTTGACTTTGGTCATCCCAAATCTCAAACTCACTTTTATCTTGACATACTGGATTATCTAGATTATGCTCTGCAAGATGGGGCCTCTGAAGCGAGCCAGATGTTTGACCTTTATGTCCACATGCAGATGGAATGCCATGCCAATCCGTCTGCTGCAGATGCAGTTAGGTATACTTTAACCACCCAGACAGTTCTTGGAGATTGCTAATTAAACATAGGGACGGTCTGTATAAGCGTGACAGATACATTTGGATTCCGCTGCATACCTGTGCAAATCTGGATTATTGTCTTTGGGAAGCACCACACCATATGGCGAGCAAGTACCCCCTCAAGGCACTGTTTACAGAATACTGTCGGCAAAAACAGGCAGATGCTGTGTATCTCAAAGACTTCTTTCAAAAGACGCTCAAAATCCCCGATGTTAGAGCGGATGATCTCGTGGTCGAGCTGGCGAAGCTGAAGTCTGACAAGTGTAGCGATTTTGACCAAATCAGCTCAGTATATTTGAATCTGCATCGAATGTTCAAAAGGCTGTCTCCAAGGACATTGACGACTTACCGGTAAGTTTTTTACTTACCTCATAATAGAGATCTTGGCTTATTCCTTCAGAAAACGGTTTTCTGAAGATGCTCTCATCTATGTGCCCCCCAATTGGTACACCACGCCGGAGTGCCTTTGGTCAACGGCTACCTCTATTCCTGGTCGCATTGCACTCAATGACCATTACCAGGACTTGCAAGAACTGTTTGTCCATTATTTGGAAGTTCAGACCCTGACCATGCAAATGGTCGTCGAAAAGCTGCGAGACCAGGGTCGGGCGGGCTCGTCTTCCGTGGCCGAGGTCAAAAGCACGATTTGGACCTTGAACTCTTTACTCCAGGGTCAACAGGCAGATATAGCACCTGCTGAGCAGGTGATAAACTATGCTGTATTTCCTGTTCGGTTTCCGCACGGTGGTGTGCAGCTTCAGACTTCTGCGAGTGCGTTTGCAATTGCAGATCGCAAGCACCTCTTCAGTTACTTTAGTTCGAAGGCCAACCTGCTAGATTTTGAGGTCGATGAAGTCCCACGCCTTGAGCCATTCATCCAATGGACTGGACTGAATGGCCGCTACTTATCGTTGTGTATCAAGGAGATCACAATGGTGGGGGGAGACCACGCTCGAGATTTATCTAATCCTGACCGCGACATTTCTCAAAAGGCACACGGGCTCCTTCGGTAGGTTATGCACTTCCAAAACACAATGTTTGTTGCCTTATCTGACCATGATATTACTATAGCGTTGCAGTCCATCTCAAGAGCCCTCGAGTAGCTCAGGATGAATATGTTTTTTATGAGGCCCTCAAATCAATCAGCATGAAAGAAACCAACGGGATCTCATCTGAGCTTCATCTCAATCAGGATGGGAGGGATATCAAGGTAGAAGTTTCTAGGAGTGAATTGCACCTCGATGACCGAGATGGCCAGCTCACTGTGTATATTCCACAAGACAAGCGAACTCAAGAAATCTGTTTTCTTGGCCGCATTCCACTGGCTCTGCTGCAGTGGATGATGACCAACCCATTAACACAGATTACCCACGAGTTCAGCGAAAGCTTCGTCACTATCATCCAGACCCTCCTGCATGCTAAGAGCAAGTACGTCTCGGATCTTTTGGACCTCGCTGGTATTATGTCCATTGCGAGGGCAGACGACACAGTTGTTACGGCAGAGAATGAAAGCCAGCAAACACAAGAGATTGAAGATCAGCAATCGCACAGCGATTTATCATCGGCTGCCGTTAGTAACAGCTCAATTATTGTCCAGCATACCCCTCAGCGTGATGGGCCCGTACATACGCCACCTCGACCGAGACAAGACTCTTGGGTGTCAGAAACTACTGTTGTCTCTGCCTCAATGCGGTCCCTCCCTGTAGCTCGCCCATCTCCAGTGCTCCTACAGAATTATACAAACACGACAGCCGACCCCGAATACTACCAATTGCTTTCATCTGTGCTCGCGTCTGCTAGGAATGCCATATTCCCCAGCCAAGGTACCTTCAACATGGCAGGTCTGGACGACTCAATCACATCGGTTGCATTCTCCGAGACCATTCGTCTGCGGGCCTCTGACCAGTTTGAACGGGACTTCAAGGTCGGTGCAGCCGGAGAACTATTCGTAAGTCATCTTATCTATACTTTTACCAATAAGAATATATATTGATCGCAGCAGGTATTCGAACTCCTCTCAAGACTAGACCCACCCCTACCTGCCTTCACCCGCGACAACTGGCAAAGCGTGATTCGCAGATTCGTCACAATTCTCCCCGAGTATTCCAACATGACAGCATGGCATGGTCGTGAGACAGCAGATATTACCTACAATGATCAGGATGGAGTTCTCACCTCCCTCTTCATAGACAAAGGATACCTACGGGATGATGTGTGGAGGGGAAAGACACCTCGGTTCTACATAGAAGTCAAATCTTCTACTGCGGACAACCGTACGCCTTTCTTCATGAGCAAGCACCAGTACCGACGGGTAAGAGAAGCTACAAATCTGTTCCAGTCATATGACTTTTCTGACCTATAGCAGATGCAAGAGATGTCCAACGGCGAGACACAGTCTGATAACATGGACATGGTGTATGTGATCTTCCGAGTGTATAATCTAGGACAGCAGGGCATGAGGATGAAGGTTTACGTGGATCCAGAAATGATGCGCGTGAAAGAGGAGTTACTATTTACTGCCGAGGGGTGGTCGGTTGTTCCGGCTTGATGATATGTTTCGAGAGTGGCATTTGTATTTTCATGACCTTTATGGGGAAGTTTGTTATATTGCGTTTCCGACTCAGAAGTAGAATCTACTTGCTCTGTACTGAGGTACCTTTCATTCTTCTAGGTATATCATTCCTTCCGAATTTAGTTTTTGCATTTGTTAATAAGATAATAAGGAGCAGTTACCGCGCTTTGTGTGTTCATGACGTTGACAAATGCATTAGTAGGTAGGAATGGAAATATATAACCAAAGAAATCTATCGAAGGTTGCACCGGCGAACATTGCAAATATCTAGATATTTCTAATCATCAAACCCAGCAATCTGATCAAGGGCTCTTCACTTCTTTATCCATCAACACCCCAACCACCTTCTTGACCGACTCCCTCGCCAGCATGGCTTCCTGCCAGCGTGTGAAATGAGGAAACTCCTCGGGACGCCACGCCTGATCGCCTTCACGACCAGCCATGAAGAACGCAATCTGCATATTCCACATAACGAACGCCAGGTCTGCGTACGTGCACTTGTCGCCCACGAGCCAATCGCGCTCCTTCAAAACAGAGTCTAACACGCCCGCTACACGCTTGACCTCGGCACCGTAGCGCACCTTGGCGCTTTCGGGGGATTCACCGTAGATTTTCTCATGGAAGATATTGAACCTTTAGATAAGGACATGAAAAGTGTCAGAGGATCGATAATTGGGCGCAAAAATCTGGGTAGGAAGCTTTAACTTACCATGCAGATTGTCCAAAGTACGGGCCCTGTCCCGAGGCCTGAAAGTAAGACCACTGGATCAATTGATATTGTTCCGGGAATGTATCGTAGGATATTTTGTGGTCTTTGTCGTAGGTGTCGATGAGGTACTGGACAATGGCACCTGATTCCCAGAGGGTAAGACCGGTGTTGGGATCGATGATAGCTATGAATCGACTTTCATCAGGACCTGCAGTAATAATGGCGTGTTGTAGAGGAACGGATAGATTCTACATACCGGGAACTCGGCCGTTAGGGTTCACGTCGGTGAAGGGCTTGGTCTTCAGGCCGTCGAGTTCGACCCATGAGGACTCATATGGAAGGTTAAGTTCCTCGAGGATTATGAGGACTTTGGAGGGGTTGGGTACTTGGTCTGGATTTCGTGTTTCCGGTTCTTAGTATTGCTTTCTTTGACGTAGTGGGCATACCACTCAAGGGTGAGATAGAGAGACGGAACGTACTTCGCCAGAAAAGCTTGATGGGCTGCAAGGACGTCATGTTGGAATTGCTAAGTTCTATTTCTTGTTTTCCTTTCGGAAACTGAGAATTAACGGCGCTTGAAATTGAGAGTGAGGAAAATACCAGCGAGGGCGTCGCGAGGAACAAGGGCTATTATGTGTACAAGGCCAGGCTGGACTGGTGGCCGAAAAATCGAGCTTACCGCGTGGTGGAGCAGATGTTTACACTAACGCATCAGAAGCACTTTAGCTCGAGATAGAGAGGTTACTTCGCCTCATTTCTTTGTTCCGACAGCATACGGTCCAGGAATTTCCCGCCCGACGCACCGATGGATCAGCGGACCGAGATCCTTAGCAGATCCGGACATACTATACGCGAAAGACACAGACAGGAATTAGGTGATCCCAGGTGCGGAGGTAGGACGGTATCTAGTTTGCCTTGTCTCGATCAATCTAGAGCGAGGTACCCCTGGCACCATAGAGCTGCAACTAGCCTGATCAGGCAGGTATACTACATGAACTGTTATTTCAGGTGCGGAGTAGGATGCTATCTACTAACGAGCCTGTCATGTCTGGGCCACTTTTAATTAGCTACCAGTCGCAGGCCCGTGCGGCAAATAGAACCACTAGATATGCCCTCTGCTTGGGCTGTCAGAACGAGAACCACATAGGGTACTCCGTATGTGGGTCCCTCGGTTCTGGGGCGCTGTATGTCCTGAACCTACTGTGGCATGCCCTGTGTAAAATACGGCGTAGTTAAGGGACATATTTAGTGCTTATTGTGGGGGCAACATCACTTTCTTGTTTCCATTCAACCCCCGGATCTTACTTAGTGTCAGCGAACTAGTATGCTTAGCCCTCATGCTAGTTTAGAACGTAAACTCCGCCTCTCGCTAATCATGTTGCGATCGTTACCGATTATGCCCGGTGTACAGAGAGGCTGCCTCACCCCGTACTTTTCAACTTCCTCGCCGGTTGTATGTTCCAATTTTTTTTTTTTTTTTTGTTCTCAGTATCTCGCCGTCCAACACCCCTCTCCTCCTTCACCACAAGGCAATGGCTCTTTTCATCTTTGCGACCATCCTGCTTATCCTCGTAAGTGCTCATCTCCATTTCCGGGAATTGTGCAAGTCAAACTAACTAGAAAGTCAGTATCTCACCACCCTCATCATTTATAATCTATTTCTCCATCCTCTCGCCCGCTACCCCGGCCCTACCCTCTGGCGTGCATTCCGTTTCCCCTTTATTCTCACCAATATCAGCGGCCAACTTCCTCATCGTATACATGACTTCCACACCCAATATGGTGACATTGTCCGTGTTGCACCTGATGAACTCTCGTTCATAGACGCGCGCGCCTGGCGGGACATCTACACATCAGACCGTGAATTTGTCCGCCCGCATCAATACAAAGACCAACCTCCCGGCAAGACAGCACCAAATCTAATTGCCTGCTCGGAGGCTGATCATGCCCGTCTTCGCAAGAACCTGGCACCAGGCTTTTCGGAGAAATTCACTGCACTTCAGGAACCGATTCTACAAAAATATATCGATGCACTTTTTGCTAAGCTGGACGCAAAGATTACGAGCAGTGGGGGCGACAGTGCCACCCAAAGTGCTGATTTAGACCTTGTAGAATGGATCAATTACCTCGCCTTCGACGTGATAGGTGATCTCACCTGGGGTAGCTCATTTGGGTGCCTTGAGGGTCTGCGGTACCATCCCTGGGTGCAAACAGTTAGCCAGTTTAAAGCTGCCATCGTTGTTGGCTCGATGAAATTCTATCCTCTGCTTTATCGATTCATGATGGCCATCACTCCAGCGGATGCCCTGAAGCCAGTTATGGAGATGTGGAAGGTCACGGATGAAAAGGTGGCGGAGCGAGTAGCCACCACTACTCCTAGTACTGCCACGCGACCGGACTTCGTGGGAATAATGATGGCATCGGGTGCCATGACACAGGAGGAGATGGAAGTGAACTCCATGCTGATCATCGCAGCGGGGAGTGAGTCAATAACGACCATTATCACGGGAGTCATCAACTATCTTCTGCGGGACCAGAGGACCCTCCGTGAATTGGTAGACCTGCTCCATGACTCCTTCCCTACGGAAAAGGATATTACAGCCATCCGGCTGAAATCTCTCCCATATCTCGACGCAGTTTTGATGGAGGGCATGCGCCTATGCCCAACTATTCCAGATGCCATGCGAAGACAGGTCCCGCGGGGTGGAGCCAGGGTGGCTGGGCAATTTGTGCCGGAAGGGATGATTGTCTCAATCCCTCCGTTTGCTAGTTACCGCGCACCCCGCAATTTCACAGGGCCGGGTGAGTTTGCCCCGAGACGGTGGCTGGGAGAAGATATCAGCAAGCAGAAAGAAGCTTTCAGTCCATTTTCACTGGGGTCACATAATTGCCCAGGCCAGAATTTGGCTTGGATGGAGCTACGGCTCATTCTGGCACGGTTGTTGTGGAGGTATGATCTAGCGGGGGTGGATGTGCCGGCCTGGGAGAAGCAAGGGATTTGGTGGTTTTGGGATAAGAAACCTCTTATCGTGAGGGTTAGAAGGGCTCAATAGGGGGGTTGATGTGATGGATAAGATTTCCGCTCGTGGATCCACCTCCGGGGTTAAGAATTACTGGCTATGATTCGGTCATATCAGATCCGCTTATGATCCGCCAGGTCGCCGAACTCATGCTGCAAACATGTCTTTTTATCCAATTCAGTCAAACCCGGATACACCTGACCAAAGCGAGGAATACGCAGCCCCAGGGCCATGGAGACAGACACTGGAGATGCAAGATAGAGAAAAATGAGTTTCTCCTTAAGTCGGCAGGGAACAACACACGCCTTGAAAGAATCAAATACATTGGAAGCAAGAGTATGGACAAATAACAGAGAGGGAGCAGTAAGTCACAAATAGCTGGCTACACAGGTGACTGGATAAATGCGATACTCATATGCAATATCAGTCTTACCTTTCGTCTTATTCCGCTTTGCTTTTTGTATACTTATTTGTGTTCAGCTACGGCAAATACTTGCCACATCGTACCCTGCGTTGTTTCTACGTACTCCACTGGCGAGATTCGAGAAATTTGACAGCATTACAGGCATGATTCTTTTCTTCAAACAGTGAAGCACCCGCACAAAATTCCGTCATAACACCTCATATCATGATATTACTTGACAAGTAATGGCAACATCATCACGGGCCCATGGTAACTAATTCCGTCGACGCATTCACCGGTCATTTCCAATCTTCTCTACCCAATAGAAGCTCTTGAATCTCCGAGATATTGGAAGAATCGCCAAAATCCACTTTACTCCCCTGGCCAATAGCGACGCGTCGCTCTAATGTGTGGGACGCGACTTGTGGATATGAGGAAGGATGGGGTAATTCCAAAAAAAAAGAGGAGGATACGGTGGATGCTACGTCAAGTGTTGATCATCTAGGTGAATGTATACTCGGCTGCAGTACCTATATACAATATAGGATAAGGAGCTTTTCCATCGGTGCCGCCCTTCTTCTAGTCCTAGCCAGACATGCCTGGCAATTGTTCCAGTATATTCAGACAACATATAGTTGTTATACAGTGCTCCGGAAATCGGTGTCACCACTTGCACTTTCATTGTTTCTCAAACCCCAGTGCCAAGAAACGCTAAGCTCCCTTTAGCATAGTTTGTATACACGGCCTGGAAGCGTTTTCTCCAAGAGGGGGCGAAGGTGATCGAGGTACCACAAGGCTTCTCCCGACTCTCGCAAGGCAGCTAGTGCTTAGCTTCCCTGGGCTTACTGCTAGCGTGCGGAAAGCACTACTCGATGACCCAGATATTGTTTCAAAATCGCTGAAAGAGCAGTTTGGTAAACTGCTTGTTCAACCTCTTTGGGTCTTGACCCATCCAGTCACCAGGTTCTAACAAAAGTGATAGTGATTGACGCTTTAGACTAACCCGAACATGAGAATGACGTACTGTCATTTTCGGAATCGGCTTGACCAATACATGATAAAATATTACATGTAGTTTGTTTTTATTAAGAAACCAAAAAAGGAGGAGCCATGGGACCCATTTGAAGACTATAGTCAGTATTATACGCCAGCGAGACTTCAGCTCTGCCGGTACGCTGACTGGGATCCCGATAAAGCATACGACGAAAACCCGCCGTTCTATATCCACTACTCGATCAAGTGAAGGATTGCAGTCAACAATAGGACGATAATGTCAAAGGACACAGCAGGATTTGATTCTAGAGCCTGCCACATACTGGGAGTACTTCCTCGAGGCTAAGTTGAAAATGCTTCGCTTAGAAAGACGAGACCGCTTGCGTCTGAATATACTACGGTCGAGTATCGGTCATCGACCGCTCCGAGCGGGACCTCTTAAAGCGCCTTGATGACACAAACATTGATTGGGCTGTCATACAAAAGCAACTGCTTGCATGGGGCGAGCGGTTCCACGTCAGCAAGAAGCTTAGACTAATCGGTTCATTCAACCTGTGCGTCCACCACTAATCAGATGCTTGCGGAACGTGCCGCTCGGCTCACGCGGAGGAGCCATCCTCTGTTTAGCAAGATGTGTACAATCTTATGCGCTGTCCTGGCCCTCCATTTGACCTGGAGCTTTGTTGCTGGGGCGACCCTGGTGGGAAGAAGCGGTACAGCTTAATACCCACCATCTGAGGGCCTTCACTAGATGGTGGGCAAGATTGGGGTGAAGCCGATACTATCATTTAAGATAGCCCATAAGAAGTGGTGCACGTACGAGCTTCAAGATTGGAGGTCAAGAATATTCGTCGGATGTAAGTTGACATCCCACCATGCTGGAAACGTGTTGACAATCAAAGTTACGACAAATCAACTGGAGGCTTCAAGCCCATAGATGTAAACGAGCCCAAGAAAGTGAACGAGCTCGACACATATCGACATTTATACCACGTGCGATGGTACTGGCAAGCCATGGTGTATCGAACATCGCAACGGCGAGGAAAGAAGTAGGCTTTTTGGCGATCTCCTACAATTTGAACTGCAGTTATTTGGACTCTGACGGAGATCGCTTTGAGTCAAGGAAGAAGGCGGCTTAATCTGCCCCGTCGAGCCAAATCTGTTAGAGGTTTGGAGGTGATGACAAGAAGTGTACGAAGTATACATGTATGATTGCTTGCTCATAAATAGGCTACAGATTTCATTGCACAATGATACTCAGTACCAGTCTCAGACCATGGATAGGGGTAGCTTGGAAAGACACATATCAATGTTCTTACCGATCGGAGAGCGTGTGATGCAAGATCACTCGGTCAACCACAACTCGCTCGTCTCACCTCCTGGCCTTGCACCAGACACGAGCTGCTTTAGAAGCACGTCTGCATCTTCGTCCTGATCCCCTTCCTCGTCGCTCTCGTCATCTTCATACACCACCTCTCGTCCCTCCTCACTCTCACCATACACTCCCTCGCCCCAGTCCACCATCTTCAACATTTTATACCTCGCCGTTGACGGCTTGCTGGAAAAGAAATGTTTCTTCAAGCCAATCTCTCGATATTGCAGCGCAAAGATCTGCTCTCCCTCAGCTGTATTCCTTCCCAGCCAATCGGCGCTCACTTCACGAGACCACCCCACCGTCGGGTTAGGCACCAACGCCGGATCAACAGCGCCATGCGACGCGATACTCGCTATCTGACCAGCCGGCACCGAAACCTCAACGTCAGACTTCCGTTTCGAAGTACGTGATGTCCCGATCTCCGCGTCCCGGCACGTCTTCAACCCCACGACCATATACCCTTTCCCGCCATTGTTCTCCAGCAATTTTATTATCTCGTCAAGGTGCGCGCCTACCACCGCGACGAACGACTTCCGGTGCTGCGGCAAGCTACGCGTTATCACCATATCTCCTGCGATCTGCTTCCCAGTGCTACTGCTCTGACTCTTCGTCAGCCCGAAGATCCCCTCGAGTTTCGCCCGCAGCGCTGCCGAGTGGCTTGCGGTGAGGATGGCGGACACGGAGGTGTCGGCCACATCGATGGGTGTGTGCTGTAAGGCTGCGCGCGGGTCTTCGGGGCAGTACTCGTGTAAGGGGTGGAAGATGTCGCTGACGATGCGGCCGAGGAAGACAGAGGCGTGGTGCTCGGCGGGGAGGCGGTCGATGAGCGCGAAGGTAGGCTTGGATCTGCTGGTGGTCATGGTTTTGCTCGAAGAGGACGAGGCCAGCATTCGTCTTTTAATTGTTCTCTAAACACAGTCGGCTTCGAAGTGGAACGTATGATTATGCAAATGCTCTCTCGCCTTCTGCCTTCTTGTCTGCTGAGTTATAGAGAAAGGTTTTAGCCACCCGGAAGAAGAAGTCACGTAAGGCTCGTATGGTTGTGTGGTTCGAGCTCAAGTGGCGGCCTTCCAAGCCGCCATGACAGCTACCTTTTTGGATACGAGATTCTAGACCATGATCTACCCCGCAGGTTGCGATGGAAGGAATCTTATACAATGAGCCTATCACAGTGAACGAAATACTGCAGACTTATCAAAGCTGTTTTATCTGGCTGGGCTACTACTCAGCCTCCACCTACGCTTGTTTTTCAGGTGTTGGGGCTGAAAATACGGGCGTGTTCCAGAGCAAAATTCAGCAAAAATGGCTCTTTGGGACCAATCGACATCACCCCATCTGACGTGGGAAGACTTGTTCGTGGAACCCGTACAGCTTGGAGGCGCTAGATCGATGCAATGCGAGATGGTCAACGCTGCTTGCCTCCTCCCAGCTTTTATCATGCTTGGATTGATGCGAATGGTTACATGGGATCTTGGGTCATCCACCCCAGTCTCCTTGGACCTAACTGCTTGGGGGAGGATGTGACGAACCCTAATAAATCGACAGTTCTCATGTGAAAACTGTTCCTTATATACTCAGCCCTTCTCACATAGCTAACTTGAAGAGGGACGATGATATCACGACTTACTAGTAAACCAAGGGTATAAGAATGACCCTGCGGGCTTCGAATCTTCAAAGCCTTTGCAAACCCAACGGTCAGTTTGATTTATCTCTGTACTATAAAGGGTGACCAATATTACCAAATAATCAACCCAGCATAACCCTTTCATCTGCTATTTCGACATTCGACTTGCTTCTTTTTAATTGAAACTCACAACAGTACCTTCTTAGTCGTTTCATATGTATTGTAAGGTGACATGAAAATACGTGAGCTTCGAGAAGTTCGAGAAGGCACATGGGAGGTGGAATTATCATGGAGCAGTGCTACTATGAAGCATGAGTGTCTGTGGCCCTGATGCATGCACGTACCGTGCCCATGGTTGACCACAAATCAGTCACAGATCCATGGAAATTATTGAAAAACACGGACGAGAGTCGACTGAAATGGCTGCTGGAGCAGCATTCAACGTCGGAACCATATGAGACAGCGAAAGCGAACGAGGTTCTGCGCGAAGTCGAGGATTACGGGAAAAGCTTGGTCGGACAGCTCAGACTTGCCGAGTTCGTTGGTTTCATGCTCATGGTACGTTTTAGAAACTCTATAGACCTTGGTCACGAGATTTAACAAGAACGCATTGTGGGCAGATCAGATCTCCAGAGAAAGACGTCGATGAACTCATGACTATAGAGATCGAGGATTCTGATCCACAGTCTTTGTTTCATAGCATACACTGGGAGGTTTTAGAGCACCTGTACTCTTGGAGCGCCTGCGGCCGACCAAAACATAGGATCCAAAGTCAACTTGAAAGGAAAAGCGCAACCTCTGCGCAGAAGACACCGGCAGAATTACAAGCTATCTGGTCGCTCGTCAGCAACACGTTCAAGACGCTGAACATCTCACAATCCGAAGACGAACCCCAGTACGCCTTCTGCGCAGCATGCCTCATTGAGGCGCAATCGCAGCGGATACTCATCCAAAGAACCGTAAACCCAACCACCCCATCGAATTCGACAACACCAGACTCGGCAGTGGTGCAGTCCGCCTTGCACCGTGCGTTCAACATCCTTCTAGTTGCAAGTCGACCGAATGAAGAAGACGACATTAGTCCTCTGCTAGGATCTCGCGCCGTCGTTGATACTCTCCGCAGCCTGCCACAATATCAGAGTAACAGAGTCGTGTTAGATGTTGCCCGACCAGGTACGCTCAAAGCATTAATTGCTCATCTTTCCCGTACGACCGAGACATGGCATAGACAAGGCGGGACCGGTGCATGGTTCGACATGGTTGTCTTTGATGTCCACGGCTGCACATCCGACGGCATAGCATACCTGAGTTTCCTGGCAAGTTCCGGAAACAGAGAGCATCGTGTCCGCGCCACGGAAATTGCCAATTTGCTCAGAGCCCATTCGATCGAGACAGCCTGTCTCATCTCCTGTGAGTCTGCCAAAGTCACTAGAAATGTACTATCCAACCTGGCTCGCACCTTCGTAGACGCAGCCATCCGTTCGGTGCTTGCTATGTCCTTCAAATTCACTGCTAGCGCTGCGAACATTTTTCTGCGGTCGTTCTTCGGCCATCTACTGGCGCAATTCCCCGTGGATGTTGTAGGATCCCTTGCAAAGGCACGGCGTGCACTTATCGCATTACCATTACGCGATGCGGTTTTCGGGGTGAAAGTGACCCTTCCTGATTACCTCATCCCTGTGTTGTATGTTAATACAAACCTGATTCCAAGCAGAAGGATCCCAGTCTCTGATCCAATTCATCAGGGACGCCGATTTCTTCAAAGGTCTGCCATAAAGGCGTACGAGGAAGAAGTCGGCGCTCTTGTTGACAGGGAGCAATACATCCTAGAAATTGAGTCAAAGCTGCTTAAAGCTGGTTCGCGCGGCTCAAACCGTTTCTTATTGCTCCAGGGCATGGCCGGAGTCGGAAAATCTGCGATGATGAAGTTCCTCCGCTGGTGGTGGCCGTTCACGGAGTTCTGCATGGCTTCTTCATACTTTGATATGGCCATGCCGTGGAGCTGTTCCCTACTTCGTGCTAGGGCCGCGCTTTGGTCCCTGCCTTTCAGTTTGGACTTGCTCTCGGACACACCTGGTCAAGTGATCATTATCGATAATCTGGATAGAGTGTCATCGTTACCACCGGATGCGACAACGACGGCGATTGCAGAAGCAGAGGAGTGTCGCACAGTCATCAGACGATGGCTCGGTCTTATCAAGAACAAGCAAGCGTTCGTTCTCTTCACCTCGAGATCACGAGAAACATGGCTCGCAGACGAAGGAGTTCGCACGGTTGAAGTACAGAAGCTATCATCCTTTGGCGCCGCAGAATTGACATCGAATTTGCTTGGCAAAATGAATGTTCGAGAACAATATTCGGACATTGAAAGCACCAGATACCTAGCTCTACTGGCCAGTCACTTGGGTAATAATCCCCTGGCGATGAAAGAGTGCATTCCAGTGCTTCAAAGACAAGCGAGCATGCGAACAGAACAGATTCGTCAGTCTGTTTCAGCGCCCTTCTTGCTCTACAATCGTTTGCAATACGGGAGCACACCACCTTATGAGAACGATAGTGCTTTGCGTCTTGTCGGAGATCTGTTAGAACTATGTGATTCAACGACTCCCAACATGAGAAGAGTGCTATTGGGCCTCTCACCTCTGTGGAATGTCTTTGACGAGGACTGGTTTGATGCTCTAGCATATTGGTTCCCACAGTATGATCAGCAAGTGCCTCCTCGTAACGATATTAATGCCTTCTTGGACAAATATTTGCTAGATTCTGGCTGGATGCAGACCGTCAAACTACCGAAAGGAAGTCTACATCACGACCGGAGATATTTCCGCCTCCATCCTCTTCTGTCACTCGCTATTAGACGAGTCGCAGAATTTCTTGATATTCTATCGAACGAAGCCTGGAGTGACCGCACGGTAAAAGTCTTTATGGCGCATTTTTGCTTGAGAGGCGTGGCATTCTTCTCGAGTAGCGAAGAGCGTGTCGATATTAAGCCGCAATTGCTCTTGGAATCCTCCAATTTCTTGCGATCGGTCGAGCTACAGATCAGCAATTTCGAGCAGCTCGGTATCGTTCTTGGAGACCAGCTCGTCGCGAAATCCATCGGCTACATCTTGTATAGGTTGTGGGAACTCGCCAAATCTGGTGAGGTTGAGCATTTGAATGTGTCAGTTCTGACAGAGGCCTCGGAAAGATTTTTGGAGATGCTGCAGTCCCCACCAGCTGGTTTTAATCGACGGTCAGACGATGCAATGATCACGTTTGCGTGCGTCAGTCTAGCTCTCACGGGCCATTTCGCAGACCTTGACCTAAGCAAGGCAATCCATTGGGCTGAATCCTGCGCCAAATTCATGTTTGCAGGTCCTGAGCCTTGGAAGGATCGGGAGGCGAGCGTATTTCGAGCCTCCTCACTATCACTCAAGGCTCTTGAACAGCTTCGACAGTTCAACACTCGAACCCACGAACATGCCGAGAAAGCATGCCAATACGCTTTCGAGGCTCTAGAAATTCTTTCGGCAACGGTATCTCAACCAGTAAAGTTCGATGTCGTGCGGATGCACTCCTATCTAACAGCGATCAGCACCATGAAACACATGGCCCCTTTTTCGACAAGCTTTCGCGATAGCGTTGATGAATTTGATGGGACGTACGATGCAGCTTGGAAGAAATATGAGCCACCAATAGGAAAAGATAGCACGGGATTCGGCGCCCCAATGGCTTTGACAGAGGAGTTGGCGCGACGGGATTGGTGGTTCGAGGAACTCGGCGTTCGTCAAACGGACATCTACGGAGCCTGGATAGTGGACAATGAGGGTGACAGTGGCGTTTCTGAAGAGCGCGGTAACGACCCAGAGAGCACGAGACTGTTGTCTAACCTGCGCCTGGCCATGTCCAGGGGTAACAGGGTTGCCGAATTTCGGCTTCACGAAGCTTTGGTCAGCTACTATGAGAAAAAGAAAAATTGGAAAACTGCGGCGGAACATGTTAGGGTGCTGCACAGGCAGGCCGCCGCCGCTGCTGCTGCTGGCCAAGATCAGCATATCATCGACCTCTCAAGCTTCAACAACTTCGATAACAGATTACGCCATGGATGCATTCTCGTTGAAGCAGAGGACTTTGACGAAGCTCAGAGAATATATGACAAGCTCATCAGTGACGTTTTGGACACGTGCGGCAGCAGGGAGGAGGCGAAAGATAAGACTCATTTCATCCCTGGGAAGACCTGGGCGTGGTTGGTGAAAGAATCTTCGACCTGGGATATTATCACGCAGGCAAAATTGTCTGTCAACGTAGACTCCAAAATTAGGGAACGATGGCCTGAATCGTAGAGGGATGGCCATTCATTACCATCACGTACGACAACTTTCTGTTTGACATGAAAAGATACAGGAGCACACATTGGCGGCAGTGAATCCCGTCCAGGCGTTCTTCGGAGGGTCCTACAACCGTGCACTCCATATGGGTCGCGTAGAACTTGGCATTCTTCGTCACTTACAGGGTAGCTGCTTAGATGACGAGGAGGCCCCCGAATCTGGATCATGAGTGAGACTGAGCGAGAGTATGAGCGGCGTGAGGCAGTTGGATCTGAGCTTGAGTTGACCGTGAGCGAGCATAAGTAAAGCGTGAGCTGAGGCGATGCAAGCATGAGCTAATTGAGCTGAGGTTGTGCCGGGCATACTTTGCCAAGTCAACGTGGGTTGTATTATGTTCGTGGGATGTGCGATGAAATCCCACTCGACCCCAAAACTCATTATTACCAAGGACTGGCCATTCAACTACGAGATATGACAGCATATGATCTATGAAGTATGATACAGTATGAATAATGTAATGGGAACATTGATATTCCGGGTCTATTCTGGATATAGTTTTGTTTATCTTGACATTGGGGTTCCAGAAACAGTCGAAATGTTTAGGTGGTGACACCAATTTCCAGAAGTACTATACCTACTTGCATAAGGACTATTGAGGACTTAACCCAGCTTACGCATAGCGATGACCTCCAATGTTCCGTTAATAACCGTTTACATATTCCTATCAGGTGTGAATGGTGGCAGACGCTTGAGACTATCCTGGATATTATTATTCTTAAATTTGGGTGAGTTCTTCTCTCTTAGGAGCCTAAAAGGTTGAATGTTACTTGTCACGATCCTCACAGAGTGGTGCATAAATAGTATATAATGAAAGAATGTAAGAATGAGGAGAATGAGGAGGGATTGTTTTGGGATATAAAATAGATAAAAGAGAAGTAGAAATGTACATAACATTCCCTAGTAGTAGAAGGCTGAGGTCGACCCAAATTGATTTCGTAAGGCTTCGCTGATAGGAGTTAGGAGAAATTGGACTGATGCATACCAGGGGGGGTAAGAAGCCACGAGGCTCAGCTGGGTGAAGCGTAAAGTTGGCGCCGATTGGCCGGCCCGTCAATCACCTTCCGCCCAGACGCAAAATGTGCCCTAAATGTCTGGACAAATTTGGAAACAAAGTAAACAAAGAGTCAACGGCTAATAAATTGGAAGGGGGCATTAGAAATTCATATTTCTGTGTATTCACTCCCTTTTGCTTCCTATCATTGCACAGCGACAAGATTTCTCTCACGATGCCAGCAAAGCCACACTAAGACTCATAGTTCTGTTTAGGGAGGCGGCTACGCAGGGATGTACGGTAGGAACCGGCGACGTTCAAGTGTCGCAGGAATCGCGCCGGTCCATCACTCTCCCGAGCCCGATCACGAGCCCGAAATAGCCTCCTGTGAGCTATCAGTTTGACTCATTTCTCGACTATAAGTTTCAGCTATCAAGAGCCTCTACTGCTTGTTCAATCATCAGTAGTTATATCCCCAATATGGCTGCATCCTCCATAGTTGAGACCGGCATAACTATCAACTCAGGACAGGATGCTAATGCTTCTACCCAAGGCCAGCATGCGGTCAGTACTGAAGTCAACAATGAGGTGCCAGAGACAAACCCGAATGCGATGCACGGTTTCAAGCTCTTTGCCATTTTTGTAGGCATATGCTTTGGTGCGTTTCTGATGTCTCTGGACATTTTTGTCATTGCGACTGTACTGATACTACTCCCCCTTCTTTCTCTGTCGGGATATCTAAACATGCCTAGGCCATTCCCTCAATCACAGCCGATTTTCACGATACCGCACAATTAGCCTGGTATCCAGCTGCCTACTCGCTCACAACATGCGCGTTGACTCCGTTGGCAGGAAAGCTCAGCTCAATGTTTCCGCTTCGCTGGATCTATGTATCATTTTTCTCCATTTTCTTAATCGGCAGTCTGGTGTGTGGCTTTGCACCAAACAGCAATACCTTTATTGCGGGCCGTGCCATTGCAGGTATCGGGGCATCCGGGGTCGCGAGTGGCGGCTTCGTTATCGTCCTCACTGTGTCTCCCGAAAAATCAAAACCAGTGCTCCTCGGCATATGCAGCAGTTGCTTCGCCATGGGGCTTATTCTGGCACCCGTCATTGGTGGTGCATTTACGCAGTACGCTACTTGGCGGTGGTGTTTTTGGGTTAATCTTCCCCCTGGTGCTCTGACTCTGCTTACCATGCTGTGCTTTTTCAGACCCCCATCCATACAACGGGATCGGACGGCCGCCCAACGGATTATCGATTTGGACCTCATTGGTTGTGCCATTTTCATTCCATCTATTTTTATGTTACTGCTCGCTATGATGTGGGGTGGGACGAAAGAGTCATGGGACTCAGCGACAACTATCGGACTCTTTGTGGGCTCTGGTGTCATGCTTATGATCTTTGTTTCCTGGGAAGGCTACAAAGGCGAGGACGCAATGATACCGGGAAACATCGTCGCCAGAAGGACAATCACCTTCAGTGTCTTGTTCTCCTTCTTCCACTTTGGGTCTGTTGGTATCTTGAACTACTATCTCCCCGAGTGGTTCCAGGTAGTGGAAGGCGCCAGTCCGTTGCAAAGTGGTACGCGAACATTGGCTTCGGTGCTGGCTCAAATAATCGGAACTCTTTCTGCTGGCTTCTTTGGTGCGTTCAACATACTCAGACCCCACTTATTCTCCGTATCAAGCTAGAGCACAATCTGACACAGCGTTGACAGCACGCAAAATCCACTACTACAACCCCTGGCTGTATATCGGCCCCCTCTTCATGTGCACAGCCGCGGCGCTATACACGCACTTCTCGACCTTCCATACCCCGTCCAGCCACTGGATCGGCTTCCAAGTTATTCAGGGTCTTGGTGTCGGCATGGCACAGCAAATGCCGTCGCTCATTATCCAGCACTCTGTTCGCGACAAGCCAGAGCTTATGCCTGCCGCGATTTCATTGAATCTCTTCTTCCAGTACTTAGGGGCTACTATTACACAATCCCTTGGTGGTATTGTGTTTCGCTCGATTCTACTTCCCGAACTAGCTGATCATGCTGGTTTGAATGCCGATCAGATTGCATTGGTGTCTGCTGCCGGGATGGCAGATGTGCGTGATACAGTCAAGCAGTATTTTCCGGATCTGCTGGACTTGGTTCTGGAGGCTTATAATCAGGCTATTACTTCGACCTTCGTGAGTGTTGCTTTCTCTTTCACTGGTACTGTTGATATTTGGAACTAATCAGGTGGGATTATAGTATGTCGCTGTTGGGACTACAGCTGCGGCGTTTTTCTTGGCTTTTGGGGTGAAGTGGGAGAGGATTACCGAGAAAGCGACAACTGGACCAGAGGAAGCTGTAGCGGAAGAGAAGTAGATGTTTCCCTCATTGTGGGAGAATTTCTAGTGATTGACTATTCTGTTCAATTCTGTGTACGATAATGATAATAAAACTCTCATCTCATCTCCAACTTCCGCTTGTCCACAGGTACAACTGACCACTACTTATCAAACTTCAAGACCACGCAGGCCCTTCGACTGCTGCCAAGTATGTCTCGCATGTCGAAATACAGCTTTTTACTAACATTGATAAGTAGTTGTAGGCGAAATTCGCTCGAGACATTGAATTTCTGGGCAACAATCAGAATACCTGCTCAACTATGCTAGAGCAAAAACACAAGAAAGCATGAGGCTGCCCTTACCTCTCACTCCCGTCACGCGCGCCGGTGTGCCGGCGGAACATAATGTGGACTGACGCACACAAAAGCGGAGCAAGGTCGAGCAATCACCGGCCAGGAGAACTCATTAAGCTGGATAAATCAATCGGGCATCTCCCGAAGGATTGTTGTTGTGTACAGATCCACAGTGGATCAGAGGATGGATTCAAGTTTCTGACTGGCCGATCGGGCGAACTGTTAGAGGCTAATTTAGTGGTGCGATGGATTGTCTAGGCAGTGACTTTATGAGGCAACTTACGGCCAACGGACCGTCCAAATTCTCTATGTCAGATTAGGCTTACATGTCTAGGATTGCTATATAATGATGAGAAACCAATTGCAATATAACTGAATGCTGTGTTCTTTGACTTCGGAAATCTCGTCATATAAAGGGGCTAATTACAATGGGGAAATGTTTTTGGGCTTATATTGTGGACTCTTTCAAGGTTATTTTAGAGCTACTACAGACTGCTATGCCAATAGCTGTAAAGATAAATCGCACATCCTGTCATTTAGCGTGCGAAATGAGCAATGCCACAAAACAAGAATGTCAGCCTTATCAAAAATCGAAATAAATTAAGATACCGTGTACGTATATGCTTGGCTTCTAACCGAAGTAGTTTCATTAGCGTAGTATGTGGAGTCTAATGGGAAAAGTAATCTCCTACGATTAGACCAATAATAGTGAGTGAGTGGACGGGAAGACTCTGGCCTTTGTGCCATTCGAATATCGGCTGGACCTGTTGATCACTGACGTCACCAAGAATTGCTTCTGGTCGAATGGTCAGCTGTTGATGATTGAGCGAGCGTTATGATCTGCGGTAATATTATATATATTTTTTTTCTATGTCTCTACGATATTGAACAGGGTCCATTACCTAGGTGGCGCAAATAGGTTCCTGAGGTTTGGTAACAGTATCACCTTTGGCCACCTCTATGTATTTTTGAGCAAAATAGCCCGTCGATGCTCATATTAAGCAAGTCAAGATGGCTGTTGAATACCGTAGTTCAGAAGTGACACACTAGCTGCAACGACATACAACTATTATCGGTTATTCAGAGCCTATCACACTTCGAAATAGAAAGTGGCAATGGGCTATTCGCTCTTCATTGCTTTAAGACGCGATGATACCTGGTCTTAAACCAAGTATCCGATAGAGTCCTGGTATTATGGATTCAAACTTGAATATATTTCTGCAAAAGCATGTCATGTTCTCCTCCAACATAAAGTGAGCATAATTCACTCCTAATAGCCAATGAGCGTTCTTAATCTGATTGAGGCTAATGCTGGAGATCTGGAGAATGGGGGTGGTGGGCCCTTCTGGTATGCAGCATCTGCTGCGTCAGGGGCCGACACTGTTGAGCTGAGTGCTGTGCCTTTGGAGGGGGATCAGGTCCAGAATGTCACTCTGGTCTGGGCGGATTATGACAGACTGCAGCGCGATCTAGCGTCGCAGAATCAGTGACTTGTACTGAGTAGGACGATTGGGGGGTTGCTTAACTCGGGATGAGTACAGTGTGGCTGCTAGGAGGTATAGCTGTAGGGTATAGAGGTACGGGTAGGGTATATATGTCGCTGTATAAACTCGTGATAGGAAATCTGTCGCTCGGGCAATATTATTGGTAGACTTGCGTATTGCGACGCACTGAACCAATGGCGCCTTTCTAGGCACTCTCCCTAAGTAGATACCAGGCTAAAATATTAATCGAACTTTAAACTAGTGTCTAGAGCAGGAGACCGAGCTTATCCAGGCAGCATTTGAGACCTGAGAGCATTTTACTAGGCCACCTAAACGTCATGACAAAGATACCTCACGAACTCCCCTAACCTCTCGACCTTTTGCCACCCGATGGCTGTCTCTAACTTGTTGGCTGTCTCCGCAAAAAGGCCGTACACAGGAAGTTGTTTCGGGTCTTCTGGATCGTCAGACCCGTGTGATCTGGCAATATTCCTTAAAGCGATCTGCATATTATGATGCAATCGAAGCTTTTCTGCCAAATCTTCAAATGGGGTGGTCTCGCTGGGCCCATTCTGTGAGGGATCTTGAGCTTCTCGACACTGAGCCATGCAGCGAGCACAGTAAAGAATCATAGATATTAAACCTGCAGCCAGGGCAGTGGCAATCGAGGACCCATCATGATATAAAATTGGTTTCACAGAGTGTGGTCGTTGTGCTTCTGGGACCTGGATACCTGGGAGAAAATAGGAAATGGTTGCTTTGTTTTCAGTCATGGGGTCTCGCTGCGCTTGCGAATCACAAGAACCGATGCGAAAGATATTATGCTTCGCAGCACAGAAGGGCAGATTGTCCTTTCCGAGGAGTTCTATATCGTCCGCCGCAGAACACACCATGAGAATATTCTTGTCCGCCGCCTCCGTTATGGCCCTTTCCAGTTGCTCGATTCCGGCCTCATCGATTGACTTCTTCCCCAATGATCCGGGACTAACGGGCGAGCTGTGAATTTGTGATTTTTGCTTGCGTATGGTCCACGACATGGAAATTACATCGACATTGTTCTTGGTGGCAGCCTCAACGGCGCGGGCAGCGCTTTCGGGTTGGATTGTCCGCGAGGGCGAGCCTGAATTCGCGGAGGAGATGCCGTCTTGAATTCGAATGACTAGAAGATTTATCCAAGGGTTAATTCGGAGGATCATGTTGGCCATTGCTGTCCCATGCCCGTTGCTGGAATGGTGCCATGGGTGCTCGGTTTCCCCAATGCGGGGGTAGCAGCTAAACCCTCGCACTGATGTCTGTGGATACACGTCGAAGTCGGCGTAATCTACACCATCGTCGATAAGGGCAACCTGTATAACTGACGTGCTTAGTATTAAATTGATTGTGATACGAGCAAACCGAATCCTACCGTGACTCGTGGTGGCTCCAAATTATTTTCGAGGATAACTTCATGCACCTTGAGCATCGCATCGCGGAATTGTTCCATCCGTTCTACCCAAGAGCACCGATTCTCGCTTGCGGAATCGCTGGGATTATGGGTATGGAGGGGCTCTTTATCGGCTCGGGTGTCTATGACCCTTCTCTGGTGGGATTCTTGTTTCACCTCTACTCTGTTTTTTGTTGTCCTTTCCACCCTTTCTATAAAGCCATTCATCATGGTTTTTGTTCGCTCTTTACTCTCGAGTCCCTAGGATAAGCAGATGTTGGGGTTAGTCTTTCTTCCAATATTTCAAAGGCAAGGTAGTGGGAAGCACAGGGAATACAATACCTGATATGCATGGAGATGGATCAAGGTTAGTTCTTTGAATTCTGGGTAAAGCTCCAGGATTGCGTCCACCCACCCACGAAGAACAGTCTGACCCCCACTCCAGTGCAGGTGAACAGTCTTTATTTCGGGTTCCACATTGTAGATCAATCCAAGGTCTATGTCTGGCTTTCTCCAATCCCTGGAGTACATTGTGAGCCTCGTAGTGGTCCAAAGTGAGACATGTGAGGGAGAGAACTACCAGGTTTCTATATTCAAGGGCTCCGTCCGAGTACTGGTGGAAGCAGACTCGTCACGGGAGTCTGGGCCCTTGATAGCCCTTTCAATAGCTGTGTCGGAATGGGCCAGAACATCGCTGTTATCTTCAACCTGGAGCCGCAGAATTCGCCGTACACCTGCAACAGCCAGCTCATCGAAGACGGATATTAAGGGGTCGCGTCGGACCAGGGCCCCTCTGCTCTCGTTGGCTAAATTGGCTCTGATAACAGACTCTGGGAGCCCGTCTGGCTCTGACAGTTGGGGAATTCTCACGTAGGACAGAGTGTCTTCGAACCCCCCAGCGTGGGTTAGTTTACGAATCAATTGGACAATCTGCGCTGCCCCCCGTCCTCTCAGGTGTGTGGCATCGAAGTACAAATTCTTGTCTAGATTGCAACGAACAACAACATTAATACTGCAGTAGTCAGGGGACGACATCTGCAAATGGTGCGTACCCACCTGAGGCGATATTGCCATACAGCAAAGTCTTGGCATCCACGTCGGACATGTTTCGTATGTACCACATCCTGAGGTACTGCCGAATTGAATCTGCAGCCTGCATTCTGATTCTGTCGTCAGCTTCATCTTGCTGAATTTGATTGGGTGTCGGCTCTTTGGCTGCACTTGAGCGCGGCATCGCCGATGGGAACTGTGGGTCAGACGCCGGTCCTATAGCCTTGCCGTTATCCTGAGAACGCTGGGGATTATTTTGGGTGCGAGAATGTGCCAAATGAGGCGGCGCTGTGCCCTTCTCGATTATGGGAAGTTCTGAACGCGATGGCATCAGGGGCTGCGTCTTTCTGCTCTTGGCTTCTTCACCCATCTTTATTCTGCTCTCCGCTTTCTTTCCTCCGAGTCCGAGTTCAGGCCGATCTGGCTTCTGCCCAGAAGCTGGTTTCACTGTATCAGGCGTCGAAGACGATACAATATGTTCCTTCTCAGCAAAGCTGGCTTCACCATCGAGATAAATCAGATAGGGAGATTTCCCATCCCTGTTCAGTTGATCTCCAGCCTGCATCCGGCGAGAGAGGCTCCTGTCAATTAGAGCGACGACAACGGGTCGGTAAACTGCGGAGTTGAAGTAGTAGCAAAGGTTATAATGCATTGCATAATGCAAAGGCATATTCCCAAGGTCGTCTTTGGCCACCATTGCTGAAGTTGGAGCCAGTTCGACCCACTTTTGGATGATCAGCGTGAGCATTCGCAACTCTGATTTCTTTGTCTGCCTGTAGCTGGAGGCCTTAAACCGAGCCACATTCTTCTGCCACCGAAGAAGAATTGAAAATGCCTCGTGTAGTGGGTTGCGACCATCACCTCTATGGGAGATCGTGAGAAGGAGTGGCAAATGGTGTTGAAAACGGGTCGCGATAGTGTTGAGGAACCCAGTATTGTTATGTTCGAGGGCAATTGTGAGAATGGGATAAGGGTGCTTGTCCTTCCCTATTGTATTGGTCTGAACGTGGTCTGCACTTGTGCTGGGCTCTTGCAGATGAACTCGGAGGAGGGAATCAAGGATGCAGTCGCGCGTAGACTCAGGAAGGTCATAGAATTCATGTGCAAACTTGTCCTTGGACAGGTGATGGAGTATGGTTGGAACATCTCTGTTACAATAGTCGCAAAACTTGCTCACCTTTGACTCAATTGATTCCCACGTCTCCCCATTCCTTAACTGCCCCGTGAAGTCTTTCATTCGTTCCTCCCATGACAATCCCTCCCACTCGCACTCTGCCTCACTGTACGTGGCATCGTCAGGTGTAGCGTCGAGATCAAAGTTATCCATAGCCGGAGAGCTCGGAGAGACACTATGTGATATTGAGGCAGGGACCATGACAAGTACCAGTAGTAGAAAATGATCTAGGTCCCCGTACATTTAGTTGACTTTGCGGAAAGTAGCATCATAGCACCATACAGGCCACGCTCACCTTGAAAGTCAACAATGTTTATCTTCATTAGGTCTGGGAACTGAGGCTACAGCATTCTCTTTACGTCCAGCCTTTCCCTACAGTGACTCCACAACATCGTTGCATGTTGTGTACATGGTACAACCCCACAGCCGATCTAGATTGGTGGCTCCCAGATTTTCCGCGTCGACTACAATCCCCTTTTCCAGCTGATTGAACGCCGGCTCAGAGGGACGGAATCGGATAGGATCATCCCTGTCCCGAGACGAGAACACCTGTCCAACCCAAGTCTTGAAGTCTGGAGTGACATGGATGTAGGGAACACAAGCAAAGTCATCCTCCGTTCCCCGCTTCAAAAGAATACAGGCTCTCAGTCGCGTAGGAATCCCGTCCTGCTGTGATACGTTCTCTGACAGCGAAAAATGTGCCTCATGCTGACCGCCGTAGATATCTGCAGGTCGGTCACCAGTGACAACCGTGTGATGAACTGTGACCTTCTCCACATTGTCCGAATTGGATACGGCGATTGAAGTGTTCACAGCTCCCGCCAGTGGCTGGAACCCAAGCGTAAGCTCAAAGCCGGTTGTGGATTGCTCGGATTGCTCGGTGCGTGCAACTTTGAACACACGATCAGGCTGAATCCCAGCAACAGACAACTCATTTGATTGACCTGGTATCGGCTCGAATCGGAAGCGAATGTCGGCTGCCTTGAGTCGGCACCCACGGTAGGAATGGAACTGGAACTCATACACCAACAGAGTGGCCCAGTCGCACGAGTCTTGGCCTCCCCCTCCCCACCGGCCATGGATCATAGCCTTTGCCTGACAGCTGACCTGATAGGCAGATTTGCGTCGTCGCCCCATCTCAAAATTGGACACCATGGGTCTCTGTAGCTGGCCTGGTTTGTTGCGAGTCCGAAAGTCTTTTCTCGTCCGTCCGTGTTACAGAGATGTCAGTCACATCAGGAGTGAAATTAAAATGGAACAAGGAAGTTACTGATTTGAAGAGACAGTAGGATTCTCAATTGTCAGAAATTGATTTACCACCAGCAGGTCCTTGGTACGTCAACTCCAAGGAGAATGAATGTGGTTCTGTAAGCCCGCATTCTTCCTCTTCAGTCTGGTCGCTCAGCCAGAGCTCGTCATCAATGCCAAAACTCATTGTCTGTCAGTACCTCTTCGGGTGTGGCGTACTAAAACGATAGGTTTATTTGATGTTGGATTTCTGGAAGCCTCCGAGGGAGAACACGTAGGGGAGATCCTCCTTATGACTACCACACGCCTATGATTGACCCCTGGTGTGCTCCGAGGCAACACCATGTGAGTGATACCCCAATGGAGCAAATGCCTACAGTGTTTGATTAGCTCGCGAGGCGCATGTCCCTCTTTTCAAGCGTCCCCGTCAATTGGATATCATGCCTCCTGTTGGGTATTCCTTCCCGTGTTACATTATTGGAATAGTATGCGGGACTAACCTGGTAATAACTCTGGGTTGCCTTTCCACCTCTAGTAATCTTAGGCTAATTTGGTCCGGGAAGAAAGGGTTACACGGACGCGACTTCCCATTTACAAAATGCCGTCCATGAATGACTAAGAGGTAACACATATATAAGTTGCTTGCTATCCTTCTTTCTTCTCCAATCAAGAAATTCATTATTCATATGCGCCTTAAAGGATGACGAGAGAGTCCTCGAAAGGCCCTGTTGCTTTCAGGATAGGGCAAGCCTTCCACGGCCTCGAACTTTCGCGGCAATTGACAACATTTGCACCGGACGCGGCCAGCGAGGATGACACTTCATCGGAATATGTGGAGTAAGAACAATACCCTTCAGCAATATAGGCCCTACCTACTAAGATTCAACAGTATCGTGCATGTAATGGGAATCTCGCGACCGGAATGTATGAGCTTGGAGGCTGTTTTCGGTGATCACTTCGCCTCTCACACCGAACGACGAGAATTCGTATATCGAAGCAATGCGAGTCATTTTCTCTTTGGAGATCTGACTGGCCACTATGTTGAGAAAGAGGCACTTCAACTGTTAGCTGGGTTACTTCAATTTCGACGGTCGGGCGAAGGGGTAGGTGTTCTAAGAATATCAGACTTATACGTATCCACTTCTCACAGAAGGGCAACAAGTACTGACATTACATGAGGCAGGCTAGTTACAGTCGATCTATTATCTTCATTGCTTATGAGCTCGGCGCCTTGGTTGTGGAAAGAGTTCGTTCTCCTCTGAAGCACACTTAACAGTCCGCTGGCAGCAGGATATGTTTCTGATACAAGGGATTTACAGGCTATTGCGATTGCTGGTTTCCATCAAACAAGCTGGACTAGTATATTCACCGATACTGTGAGATTTGTGAGTTGAATATGGACGCGTTGGAAGGATTGCGAGCACCAGGACTTATTTTGACATGGTGACAGATTTTCGCAGGCTGTTTCCACCGCAGGACGGATGCCCCCTCATTCGATGCCCGGATATGGAAGTTTCTAGAGACACACAAAACAGAAGAATGGGGTCATCTCATCAGTCCAACTCCAATCAGGGCGTTGGCAGAGACCGCCATGGAATCAACCGGTCTGTTTCTCAGCTCCCGCATCACCTTGCGCACTCGGATAATTAGCATCTATGCCAATCCGGAGACACCGGGAAAGATTGATTCAGTGAGTGATCAATCAGCATTATACACAGGTCTATGTGAGGTACATTGGTTCTGATTAGAGGATTGACTCTAGGTATTTGATGAATCCACCGCGGTTCTAGGTATATGTACTGAGTTGGCTCTACCCGAAGAACCCACCGGCGAAGCGCATAGCCCGCTCACCTCTAGGCTGTCTGACATGGTCTTCAATGGATCATGCAGCTGGAATCGATCGCCATCGCGCATCGCCATTGAGCAAACCCTACTATCAATGGCCCTTCCGCACCGCCAGTTCCTGTCAACAGGCTTCATAGACTCACATCCAATTTTTAGAAGCTCAGAGTATAAGATGTGGAAGACATCTAGAGGCCCACAGATACTGTATATTCATGGTGAAGATCAACGGTTGACTACCGAGGCAGCTGAGCAGGTTATTCATGCATGGCAACGGGAGCGGTTTGACAAGAACCTTTATGACGCCGAAGTACACTCTTTCTCTTTCTCCCGCCATGATCGAGCGCGTACCTCGATGGACGCCATAGTTAGTACCCTTCTGGTCTACAGCTTTTCGCGCCTCGCCGAAGGCGTGCCTAACTTCACTACCTGGCTCTTAGAAAACCAGGGTTTGCTGCAGCACGGGTGGACCGACAAGGATCTGCAGAATATTTTGTGCCTAATGCTGCGAGATCACATAGAAAATACAATTTTCTGTCTACAGAATGCTGATGACTGTAATACCGCCGAAAGTCGAAAGGGGTACTGGAAGGCCATTGCGAAAGCTTATGGCTTTACAGACATGCGCCCAAAACTTCTCATAACATCAAGGAGACCCGACGCCTTGAAGGAAGAGCTCCAGCTCAGTGCTCCTAATATGACCCTACACTGTTACAGGGTAGGATTGAACAAGCCGGATGACTGCGGACAGGAGCACTGTCGCAGCGAAATGCTTATATCGCGTTTGTGTCCCTGTGGGCACGGAAAAGCTTACATGCAAGGCCGTTTAAGGGAGCTCGCATCGATGAATCCCGATGTTCTCAGTACCATCATTGATATTATCTCGTCTTATACGGGATGGCCCGAAATACCATCATCACGGACACATATGCGATTTCATCAGTTCTTCAGCCGTCTATCTGTACACAGCACGGCTGCGAATGTCCTCAATGACATTCTATCGGCTATCCCAGATATTACTCGGCTTCGCTCAACACTCACATGGATCTTGTGTGGATATCGGCCACTGACATCCCAGGAACTAACAATGTTCTGTGGCTATCAATCTGAGTCAGAAGCCAAACAGCTGGACATGAATGACGAATCCAGGACAGATCAGTCAGATTTGATCACCTGGATGAACGGGCTGCTGGAACCTGATCAAAATCAAGTCCGCATTCGTCAAGAGACCTTGGATGTTTTCGCACGCGATGGTTCTTACCTATGGACTGAGATCCGGTCGGCGGGGCCTCAGTGGACCTGTCGGTTCTTGTATCGCTTTCTGACTTCGGCGAGGATCCAGATGCAACTCTTGAACATCTACCATGAATATCAAGAGAGGGTCCACTCTGCCAAAGAGCATGTCACTCCACCATTGGTGTCAGATGGTCGGGATATAATCTATTATGCGACTGAATCTTTCCCATATCACTTATCCAAGGCCCCACTAGTACTTCAAGAAATTGCACCGGTCCTCCTAGAACGCAACGGGCCGTTGAGCGCCTGGATGAAAGTTTATTGGGCGATGCAAACCCCTTTTTCTCGGCCGAAATTGTCCGATCTGGACCCTGCAGGCGTGTCCCTTCTGACACTGGGGCTCCAGAGCTTTGGGCTCCTCGAATTTCTAAGTCAAAGTGGACATGGACTGCCTATCAGGGTAGGAGGGCTCTCTGAGGCCATGCGGGTAGGGGATGAAGATGCTGTTCTTTACTACCTGAACCAGTCCCATGGTTCCTTGTCAGTTTCGCTCTTATGGAGAGCAGTTTTTCTGGACATGACACGCGTGGTGGATACCCTTCTGAAGTATGGGATGGACCCCAATCCTTCCCCGGATCCTAGCATCTTCTATCCTTCCCCGCTGTACCTAGCATGCAGGCTCGACCATTGCCAGATCGTACAGACATTACTGAAAGGAGGCGCTGACACTAATATTCTTATGGATGGTTATGTTGGCATCATGTTCAAGGCAGCTGCAGACGGAGCTGATGATACCATTCGGGCGATCGCGGCTGTCCAACACACACTCTTAGATGCGCCCCAACCATACACACCCCTCTACGCGGCATGTTCCCGAGGTTTGTGGAAGACAGTAGAAACTCTGGTACAGCTCGGCGCCAGTGTCGACCTCCGATTTGACGGCAACAATGCTGAGCGAGGGTGGCAACCTCTATGTATTGCTGCCTTATATGGCTATCCCAGAACTATTCAATCACTCTTAGAAAACGAGGCTGATCCTAATCTGAGGGGCCCGGGTGTCAATATCACGGCTCTGTCACTGGCTGTTTGCGAGTCAGGAGATCCAGAATGTGTCCGCTTGCTCCTTGGCCACGGTGCGAATCCCAACCACCAGCTCCACCAACCTGTCTTTCCAGTGCTCCTGTCCCAGGAGACAACCCAACTGGATGCCAAGCTTGAGATTTTGGATGTTCTAGTTAACCACTCTAACCCGGTCAATGTCAATGCCGTCGACAACTGCTGGTACCGCGCTATGACACCTCTGATGTATGCTGCAGCATCTGGGGATTGCAATCTTGTCAGGTGGCTTTTGTCGCATGGGGCAAACATTGCCCTGGTTGATGAGAGAAAGCAGAATGCACTGTTTCATGCCGTTGAAGGGCATCACAACTCAGTCGTGCAACTTCTGCTCGAACGAGGCTCCCCACTTGTAGAGAAGAACGCGCAGGGCACTACAATGCTTCAACTCGCCATCGAGGAAGTTGCCATTCTGCAGCTCCTCTTGGACGCGGGAGCTGATCCGGAACTGGAAAGCAGCGACGGTTCGACCGCGATCAACAAGGCCGCCAGCCAAGGCCAAGTGGATTCTATTCGTGTGCTCATCAGGCGAGGTGTAAACATTCACCACCGGGACGACGCGGGGTGGAGTCCCCTCCTTGATGCTTGCGGAACGACTCCCAATGAAGAGGCTGTCCGCATCTTAATGGAATCTGGGGCTAGATCGACAGACACGACCCCTGGGAGGCAGACTCCTTTGCATCAGGCTGTAATCAAAGGGAAAATAGAAATTGTCAAGATATTGCTTGAATATCGCAATGTGCTGAATATCGATGCACAAGATTATGAGAAGGACACTGCTCTTGCGGCCGCTGTCCGATGCAATGAAATTGAATGTGTTGTCACGCTTATTCGGGCCGGTGCTAACATCAACCTGGCATCTCATAAAGGATGGACGGTCTTTCTGTATGCTTTGGTCTTAGAGCGACCACCAGAGCTCATCAATATGCTTTTATCCCAGTCAGACCTGGATATACATAGCGTCACAGAGGGGTGGGGAGCCGCGATTCACATCGCCTGCCAACATCTGCAACTCGACACGGTTTATGAATTGATATCCCGTGGAGCAGATGTCAATCAGCGAGTAAGAGGGCCTAATTCTACCCCATTGATTTCCATCTGCAACCCCCGACCCTCTGGAAAAATGAATCGCCAAGAAAGCCTGGACCGACAGGAACACCTTGTCCGCGAACTGGTCCAGCAGGGGGCTGACATCTCGGCGGAGCACGGCTTTATTGTCTATAATCCGCTTTCAGCTGCGTGTCTTGGTACAGGTAGACGTATCATCAATTATTTGCTCTACAAAGGCGCTTCCCTCCAGCTTCGAGACCCACTGGGCCGTCTGGCAATTCATTTTGCTGCTGCCAACGGGCTGGAAAATTTCGAGGCCGTAAACCACGCCGCTCCTAGGCTTCTTATGGCGCCGGATAAAGCCAAGAAAATTCCCCTTCACTGGGCAGCTCAGTTTGGTCGCGCCCAAACTGTTGAGGCAATTTTGAACTATGTGCGCCTCGCGGCAGAACGGCGACGATATGTGAATGAGACCGATATTGATGGCTGGACTCCGCTTTGCTGGGCACTTCGGCCGACGGAGCTGTTTTGGGACCCTAACATGCCCTCCGAGCCGGCCAACTATGCAGAAACCGTTCGCTTCTTGCTGGAAAACGGAGCGGATCCGACGGTACGCTGTCGGATGGGCAGTGAGCATGACTTGTATACGCCACTCCAGCTAGCCCGTCTCCATGACGCGCCTGATAAAGTCATCGAGCTTCTACAAGAGTCTTTAGGCAGTAATATCCCTGACAGTCAGGATCCATCTACCAAAGTATATAATCGACCTTATGGGTATTTCTGTGGAATCTGCTTCACGGTGAGTAACTGTCTACATATTTCAATCCTGTTTGTTTATAGGCCAGTGGATATACTAACCCGCTCGTCACTCCCTCTCCGACTCAAGTGTATCTACGGAATCGCCTACGACTGTTCCATCTGCCAGAACTTTCTGGCCTGTCGAAAGTGCTACAGTCAGATAGACATTTACTTGGGCGACCAGCCAGTCTCTGTGCCTGAGGCACATGTTCACAAGTTCCAATTATGGGACAGCGGCGAGCCAGAATTTCAGGATACCTGGCCGACCTCGCCTTCTGACGTTGAGGAGGATCCGGATGGAAGTAGTGCTTGGTCGGGCCAAGGGCTGGGCAATGATGCTGGCAGTGACGCGAATGATCTTTTTCTGAAAGATTCTCCTGGGTCTGTCGGTAGTAGCACAGGATCTGGATATAAAAAGCACGATAGGTTCTGGTAGAATGGGGATCGAAGTGGATCATTGCTTGACGTACAATTTACGTATTACATATTTCTTTGGATCGAGAATCTTAGATAATATCTATGGTCATAGGATACTCTGTTGTAGGAATAGACTCATAGCATTTGGAAATTAGCAGTCATTCTGACTGTCTGGGTTGTTGCAATTATCCACTACGCGCTTTCTGAGGTAGGTAAGGTTAGATTACGATGAACAAGCTGGCTAGTTGGGAAGACATACGGCTCATCGTAGGCTGCAGGGTGCGTGCTTAATACACTATGGGTACTCCTTTCTTTGAATAGAGGTGGATAATAGGAGGGTGATAAGTGAGATATACCATAAGTAACGACACGGTCTGTATATGCTAATAATATATCATGTTCTTGCCGCAATAGAGCCGGTATGACAAGACTCCCCGTATGCATATATGCACGCACATATGCAGGTAATGACCATCTCTCCTACCCCACAAGTCATTCGCGATACCCCACTGCAGCATCCATCGCCAATAAACCCTTGTCTCCATATGGTTTATAATAACCGCGGATCATATCAACACTCCTGGGGCCGTCATTGAAGAAGTGATAGACGATCGCGCCGTTTCATTTCTTGACATGCACGCATGGTGAATAGTCACTTGTATCGGTGTAAAGAATCTTACTGTGTGAGGAGGTGAAGTACGACGCGGGCTATGCTTGACATTTGATAGGTCTCTGTCAAGTGTATCTCGTAGGGGTCGGGGCGAATGCATGGTATGCCAGCAGTTGGTTCTGGAGGACTGTATGTAAATTTCACACACACAAGAGATGTGTCGCTGCAAAGCTGCTTGAAGGACAGTGGGTATCATTGTACCTAGAATATGCTGAAAATTTCATCCAGAAAACTTCCAAGTTGCCCAATCAATCACGAGACGCGGGTGTCTCCATAAGATTACATCGAAGGACACTACCCTCCAGGCCTCTCGTTCATTGCTGGCAGTTCAGCCGGGTATCCTCCATCTGGTGGTACTTTATATTTCCCTGGCCCCGGCATGGGATAGTACGTATCAGCCGGTAATTCCGCCGTAAATTCTTGCTTACGACCCTGCTGCCGATACTGCTGCGCAAAGGCATAGGGCGTCTGCGAAGTCATTGACTCCGACCGTGAATACTCACTCGGGGACATGGGCACCTGGTATGATGATCGTCGGGACCGTTCATCCGGCTGCATCATAACGGCAGTATGTGTTCGGTCCGCTGGGTTATACGTCCTGAGCACCCCGTCTTCCATGATACCATGCAAGACACCTGCGTCGAGAAGTTCGGCTTTCTTGATCAGGCGATCCACTAATATCTTGGATGCAGCGCGCAGCTGGCTCTTCACGAACGATATCAGTGTTATGTTGCATTCGATCTCGACGTCTTCGCGCAGACACAGTCCTCCATTGTTATTCCCCGCGGATTGTGTAACTGTAAAGGCAGGCGACGGGTCGTTGATTGGGTTCTCTAAAATGCGATATGTGTTGCGCAGATCAACGCCCATGGGCGCGTAGGTGTGGGTTTTAAGCCCCCATGGCTCGTCGTGGAAGCAGCCTTTAAAGCTGATCGTGCCCGGGACGTAGCGCACTCGTTCGGTGATCTCGTACCATGTTGAGTAGTACTCGTCTGCTGGGGCGTTGCGCGGTGCTTTGATGGGGTGGTGGGATATGACGAGGGGGTTGAGGGAGATGATCTCGCCGTGGTTGTGGAGAATGTCGATAGCTAGTTGACGGGGGATGTAAGTGGGGAGGGAGATGGTGTTGGTGTAGACTTCTTTCTTTCGCAGCATTGTGATGGATTGCCTTTTGGTAGAGGATTATTTTGTGAAGATGCAGGGCAGGATTGTAGGAAGTGCGCAAAATATGGAAGTGGGAATGATGATGAAGATGACAAGAGAGTTGTTGATGCCTGCGTGGAAGAAGAGGTAAGGGTCAGCCGACCTCGTATTCGGCAGCTCAACCCAGAGTTTATCATGGTGGGCCAGTGTCAGCCATTTAAACTGAAGTAATGATACTAGATAGAAGTAAGCACACAAGGTAATTGTTCACCTAGCAGGGTGATCTTCAACCTAGTATGTTTAGGATCAACCTAGTATAGGAACGGTAACTAGATTGCGATGGTGGATTCTTCCCACTCCTTGGTATTCAGCACCTGTCTATCGCTACCATGACAAAAGATAGTATGGTTGGGTAGTATCTCTAAGAGCCACAGGCCATGTTCAATAAGGCACTTCAATGAGGGAAAGTCAATTGTTGTTGTTTAACTCTCAGTGAACTATGGACTCAAATAACTTTCACAGAGAAGCGGGGGGCCTGGAAAGGCACTTAGCTAATCATAAATCTGCCTTACCGAATATTCCTCATCAATTCTGATCATCCCCCTTTTCTAGCTTTCAGGCAATAAAGAACACATAGGATTGCATATTAGGGATGATTCCAAATCTTGTATAATACGATTGTTGTCTACTATCTCCCACACTAGGTACTAGCAGTATAGCCTTCCTATTCTTGTGTTTGTGATACTCCTTGTGATATATATATCATCATGTATGCTGTATCCAAATCTTCAGTTCCTACGGCGTAGCCTGTTACTTTGTGATTTATATACATTACTATATAGTTACTTACTACTACTATGGGAATTGGGGAGCTGAGATATTTTGAGTTGTCCTTTTATCTTGGAACTTATCAGTGAAGCGCCTGCATACTAGCATTTTAGTATCGGGCTTGCTCAAGCATAAGAAAATGATTCAAATGAACAGCAAACGGCTTGGACGGTTTGGTCTCATACGCAGGGATGTGATCGGCGGGATCATATAACAGTAAATCGCAGTAGCAAGATTAGGGCCTCAGACATTAGGTCTTCATTTTCTAGAACCGAGAATAAGATAAATCATATAAGAAAAAAAAAAATAAGAATAAAAAAAAAAATGAAAAAAAGAACAAAGAACAAAGAAAAAGAAAACGTTCTTTTCTCAGCGACAGCCCGCGCTCTGAGATTTTCGCTTTCTTGATCAGCAGCCTGATTGATGCAGCGATTGGTCCAATCACCAACGATTGAAGCAGAAAAGATAGACATAGCTTCACAGTGTTTAGCTCCATAAAATGGGATAGCGAGGCACACACGACGGTTACTGTATAAGCAGATTCCAGGTTCCATGTAGCAAAGATTCTTGGACGAGGTGTTACGTGGCGAAGCCATGCCGAAATGCCCGTTGCTGCCACAATTATGATGGGGCTAAAACTCATCATGACTACGGCATGATGTTTCAAGGCTGGAGAAAGGGCCACGGACGAAGGTAGTCCAAATGAAATAATAGGTAAATAGAGAAATATCAATGTAAAGGCTTGCAGGTCGAACAGGAGTTGTACATCCTTCTCCTAACCATTATTTCCATGTCGGAGTGGCTTGGCTGGGGGGAGCTACACACTTTTTTCCTCTCTTTAAATCTTCCCCTTATTGAGTACAGTTCAAGCTGTGCCACTAACTCCCAGAAGACCAAACACAGGCACCCAGATGTTGTGTCGGCATTGTGACCGATCGCCACACTGTTACTTCAGTCCACATTTGCTTGTGCTGCATAGGTGTAGCTGATAGTACTAGGTGATTGGAGATGCATAGGAGTTTGAGCGTCTTCATTCGTTCGCTGCAACAATCGATATTTTCCCGCGGAAGTAACCCAGCTCTACTCAGCCAGGCATGGTTTTACCCCGCCCGAGGGACCTAGAAGTATTTTACATGACTTGTATAAGCAAGGGTACCCTGGATTGTTGAACAAAAGAAAATGCCTCTTCAGAATACTCCGTAGGGCTTGCCCTTCATCACTGGCTCAATGCCCTCCGGCTGGTCCCGCAAGCTACAAGAGTAAGTACTTAGTAAGCCATTGAACCGCCTTCTAACGTTAGGCACCGAAGGTGAGGGACTACGTCACTATCGCCGGGCCAATGAAATAAGTTCCCATTATAGTACTTGTGAGCTATGACTTTATCAAGCAATTTGCTTTCTCGTTGATTCAGACTCATGAATACCAATCTGACAGCATCTTTGTCACGCTGGGTAAGCCCATCAGGAAGCCTAGTCACAGTCGTGACAACCTCATCTTACAGTTTGTGTCCATTGGGCTCTTCAGCCCATCTCTACCTTAAAGACATCTATCTAGATCACGGATAAGATTTACCTCAACCCCGCGCCCGCCCAATATACTACTATTCCAACTTTAGATGCCATCACCACAGTTACTCATATATTCAGAATATTGCCTGCCTCAAGGACGATCCCAAGCACACTAGAAATGCAGTTCTGAGAACCAAGAGGGGCCATCACTCTGAAACCAATCTTCCTTCCCCTAAACTTGCCATCTCATTCGCTTACAGCAAGGGAATAATCCTGACAATCCGGGCCAGTACGGTGTCCATAAACAGTCATCTGGGCGTGTTGTTGGTCGGTGGCTTCGTCTTCATCCCTATGGCGACGTCAAGAAGACCAAAAAGATGGTCACCTGATTGGCCAACAAGCCCGTCAACCTGATCCCGGTTGATTTGGCGTAGGATAAGCGTCGAATTTAAAATGATAATAGGCCTTGTGTCAATCACAAGATGGGATATGGGACTCGGACCTGGCGTGGTTGCGATTCAACCAGCTTTGCTCCAAGCAGTAAAATCTGGATCGAGCGCATTGGATTCTTCCGCTTTGAAGTCGTTCCCCTCGATTGGCCAGTCCCAAATCCTCTTCAACATTCCAACCAGAAATGCGCGTCAAGGAAATCTGGCATATGATTGCCGACTCCAGACCCTTAGGCGTTCTTTGTCTCTCCTTTCCCAATTGTGTATAATGGGCGACACCGATCCAAGCATTGACATCTAACTCACGCAGTGACTATAATCACCTGGTTCCTTATTCAGCAATACCCCCTTTCCGTCGTCCTTGGGGGGTCTAAAGCCTCTGTGGTAAAACATCAGTCCGCTGAATATACTAATGCAGTTTCGACCAGACACACATACTCATAGTAGCAAATCCACGTCTCATGAATCCTGCCCAGCTTAGCATCGGCTGCCTGCGCCGTCTTTTGGTTAGTTGACCATAAGGAAAGAGGACGGATATGCAGCAGAGACTAACAAGACCCTCAACGAATTCTTCCATCATTCTTGTTTCACGTTCCAACCAAGTCAGGTGACATTGTTTGATCGATTGGGACGTAAAGGTCTGCGCGCGATCGAAATCTATCCATAAGACTCTATCAGATGTTATCTGAACCATCATATTGCGAGGATATGGATCCCCATGGTAAACACCAGCACGGTGCATCTCTAACAGTATCTGCTGAAGCTTCCGGAGGCGTCTTTCGGAGTAATTCGATAGATCAATTGAGTGAATATCTGGTACATATTCCATCAAAATCGCATTGGGATACACAGTATCCTCGACGAAGTCTTGTAAATATGGTAAATGATGAACTGGGTTGATATTTTCGATCAAACCATAGAAATCTGGGATATGTCCTCGGTCACAGAAGCCATGTTCTCGTAATCGCAAATATGCCGAGCTTTCGCACTTGAATGGGTCAGTTTCGCGATTGCGAGGACGAGTTCGGCGTTTGCTAGGTAATGCCTGTGGAGAATGATACTATGTGAAGTGAAAAGGTCAATGGTCATCGCAAAGACTCGGCCTACTGCTTCATGATACCTACCACTTTCAAGATACTATCTCTCCCGTGCCATACCGTGCGGAAAATACAAGATACAGGGGATTTCCTGAGCTGATTCACAAAAGTCACCTCAACCAGATTGAGACTTGACATGGCTGTCGGCTCCAGCGATGCAAAGGACCTTGAGGTGGAACGATGTTGAGAACCCCTTGGGTGAGAAGCAGTCAAGGATAACTGGATTGAGTGGAGAAGTTCACCCTGTGGAAATGGCGCTATACCTATTTAGGATGCCCCACTAAGGCCTCGGCCTCCTATGCCTTCTCACATGACCCCCACATGATCTTGATCCGCTTCCGTCATAGGAAATGACAACAGCCCTATGATATCTCAGCAGTCATTTAGGAAGGAACCGAGCAGCAGCAGCCCCTTCGCGAGCAAGGGCAGAGGGAATAGAACCTGTTAAGAACCGAACTTACCAGACCCGCAGGCTGCCACTATAGATATGTCAATGTTGACGTGCCCTCTCATCATAGAGAGTTCCTCTTCTTCTCCAGATCAATTACTAGTGAGTCGTCCTGGTGAATTTACGACTTTCGACGGATGCTGAATTCCGAGTACTTCTAGGCTCTCAGACTCCGCCCCCAAGCCGCTCGGGCCTCCCACTTATCACTTCACACTAGTGACTGTGATGGTGATGATGAAAGGGCGCAACGGAAGTACGTGTGACTATGAGCTGTCCAGGCACCATGCAGTTACTGCGCACAGACTCAAAGGGTGAGAGCCAAACATTATAAAATTGTCATGTCGGCCGGACATGGCCTACAGTTCCAACTTCTTAGGTATGCACTCCTCTCTCCCAGGTGGTCATAGTATACTGTTCAAACTGCCATATTATTGTTACACTATATAATGAGGACATAACTTGTTGATCTCACTGTTGTGGATTTTGGGGAAGGTGAACTTGCTCGGATTGTTGATCAATATACCCCAGACCTTGCTTTCTACGACCCACAGGATAATCCGTCTAACCGACCAAATCGCCTTCCCGGGGAAATAAAGCCTTCATACAAATGGTCGAGGGCCCTACAGGATGCACCAAGAGAATATGGTCAAACTCAATTCTTACAGGCTCTGTCTCAAATAAACTGGTATATGGAGCAGAATGAAACTCAGTATGGTTTCATACTTACTGATCGTGAACTGGTTGCTATAAAACGCCTCGATGACGACGGGAGGCTAGAGCTATCAGAAACAGTACCGTGGAGTACCAGAGGTAGCGAAGAAAGCCCTCGGCTTACTGTGCTCCTTGCTCTCTGGTACCTGGGAATGCTAGCTGCCAACAACGGACAGTGGCAATTGGTGGCTTGATCATCTTGCCAATCATTTTTCTCCTTTCTAGTATGGGTACCTGTAATTCTGCTACACGGCTCTATGTATGACTTCTATCTAGTCTATTGTATTATCCCCGGATAAAAGAGTAGTCTGCGAGACGAAGGGTCAAACGAGCAGGAAAGGGTTTCTTTTTCGATGAGGACGGACATTGTTCTTGCTCCATATAAAAGGAAATGTCTCAGGCCTACTCGAGGACCAATTTGTCAAGACATCCTTCAGGACGGATATATTCATATTCATTCAACGCGTTTTATCCGAACTGGGGACAATGACCACCACGTGATCTCTAATCGCCATCTTCAGCAAAACGATCCCCGTTATCCTCGAACTCTAGCTAAGCGTCCATATGGCTTCGATTCCCAGTCATTATATCATGGCAGACAGAAGGCTATACTATCTGTTTGACGTCTGGCATATCGAAGACGAGATGGCGTCCAAGTCTTCGAACCATCAGCCGAAGTGGATCAAGAGGTAGACAGATGTACCTCTGAGCACATTATTCGGGATTGTTGATTTACTGGGCTATGTGTTCCTGACACACGAGGGGAAGCCTTCTAATACAGCCGGACCACGAATTTTATAAAGGCCTTTGCAACGACGGATCTCACGGAGGGCTTTCCGAGTCTGGGACGCCCCGAAGTCATCATAACCTCGAAACAGCTTTGTGACTTTCCCTCACGAGCCGAGTTCAGACAATACACTCAGGATAAGTTAGCTGGTTCGACCAACCATCTCCCTCCCGGGTTCCAGAAGTGTCGCAGATCTGTTACCCCGGGGTCGGGCACCCAGTCCGAAGGTAGAGAGGGCGAGCGCGGTCGCTTTGGTAACAGTGATGATGGCGATGATAGTGAATGTCTCCCAGCTCATCATCCCCTACAAGCCAGTCAGGTAAGTAGACAACTCACGATGTAGATATACGAGGCATCTTCTATCGATAATTCTCCTCCACGTGACCCGGAACAACAAGATCGGGTAAGCTTAGGTGGAGGCATCCCGAGATTAGTGCCTCAATAGCCTGAGAATGATAAACCCTTGACACATGAGGTCATTCATACTCACTCCGCTTTGACTCCGCCAGGGACATGAGGCTTAGGTACCAGTTGACGACAGTCTAATATAACGTCAATCACATGAGCCTTGCCACTTAGCTTTATTACGCATCTAGCGCTTTAAGCCAGTAGATAAATTATCTAGTTTGCATGGTCCAGTGGAAGAGGTCATAAAATTCAAGGCCCCTGAAATGAATGTACGGCTGATTGCTGCTCCACTGGGATTCCTCCTATCCATGTCAGATCTTGAAGCATCTGGTGCCATACTGTAGCATCCCAATCTTCGGTCATACCGGACACTGTGGTTAGAGGGGAATCTTCAGGTACTGGCTCCGGCAATGGATCGGGGTTCCAAGCTTCCTGTTTCTTTGATGTTTCTCCATGAAGTTGTATTTCTTTAGACCTTGTGCGACTTTTTTCTAGCCATGAGAGCATGGACCCGATCACTGCACGGCAATTATCCCAAATATCGTTGCCGCGTGATATCGTCTCCATCTTCTGCATGGCTGCAAGACCGAGATTGTGGATATCTCTGCTATGAACTTCGAGTGACTTGTCTTCTGTTGCGGCAGCCGAAAGCAAGCTCAACTTCGATAGAACAAGGAGGCCGTACCAGATAGAGGTGTAGCTGAACATAGGGAGATTAGGTGTTACCGAGGCCGGCGTTGCGAGGAATGCTGTCACAATGTTGAATGCGGAACGCGCAATACGGAGCAGCCGATGTTGATCATGCTGGTGATGGCTATCTCTTTGACTAAGTGCATGTCCGAGAACAATTGCCGGAATTGCATTGAGCTCCAATCGCAGCGCCCCTATTGAAGTAAGTAAATGAATAAGCTGAACAGTGTCAGGTAAACACACAAGTACTATAGTTTTTGTTCTGTGCGAAAAGCTGCTCTACTTGATTCTCAAGTACGTCAATAGACCGGAATAGTTGGTCCTTGTTTATTGCGTAAATCGAGTCATCGACCTCTAGCTCTGCTTTTCGAGCAAGTAATTGGATATCAATCAGTGCTTTGATGTACTGGTCACTGGGATACTCTGCTCTCTGCCCTAAGCGTTCGGCACAATAATTGACCCAGTCCGTATGCTTCATGTTAAGCTGTCGCCGGAATATTGAGGCCCTTGTTGCGTTAGTGGACAATCCCGTACCGATTGCGAAAGTCTCACTTAGAACATAGATAATAGCAACCTAAAAATGCGCGCTGCCCGTCAGGGGTCAGATAGAGTACTTGGCCCCCCTTTGAACCATCCATGTCTTCCCCATGGTCATAAATGTGTCGCATTCTGAAATTGTCGTATCTGTCAAGCCCCAAGTCAACAACGATAGCCATAGCCATCTGAAGAAGCATATACACTTGGGTATGGTAGTTGCGCCAATGATAATGAGACCATGCAATATGAACCAACAAGCCACGAAGTATGTCCATGTCCCTCTCCATATTCATCATTATACGGGTAGATATCACAGATCGAACTTCCAATTCGAACTTCTGCTGAAGAGCAGGCTTGTGCTCGAGACAAGCTGTCATTATGCATAATAGGAGAAAGGGAGACTTCTCACGCAGTTCACCAAGGTTTACTTCATGTATAAGGACGAATGGGAACAGAGGCATCAAGTCGGTGCGGAATTTCAGGAGGAGCTCTTCACCTTCCGCAAAATTGAGAAGTTCCCTATCAATGAAATCGTTGCGCCATTTGAGCTTGGGGCTTACAGAACAGGTTTGCGTTTCTGATACGGGTGTCAAATTCATTCCCGAGCCCTATTGAAGAAAGGTCAATGTATATTAATCCCGGGGGCAAGGGCCCAGATCAGGTCGGAGTAGATACCTTATCAGCGTGCACTTGAGCAGCAAGTCTGTCGACCTGGTGCTGAATGGTATCAATGCGGCTATTTCTGGAGACAGGAGTACAATGTTACCCAACAGCCTGCACCGGCATAATGTAAGTAGTCATGGGCAAACCTGATGCTTGTATTCCTGAGCGAGCCGTCTGGGAAAGTACAGTGGCGATCAAGTCTCGCACATCGCTGACACCGTCCATTGTCAATCAAGACGCATTTCGCTTTCAATTGAATACATCGTATACACGCGTGCCGCCTTGACGGGGTTTTTGGATGCATTGCACTCTGCGTTGAGAAATACTTTGGTCTGGGGTGGTGGATGACTGAAGTAGAGTGTCGGAGACACACAATCACGGCGCGGATCGGAGTCGGCCTCGAGTCGGTCACGGGGCCGGAACCGGCGCCGGCCTACCCTAACAGTAGACTACCCAATTCAGTAACTGTCAGGGAGTAGGGTTATCATAAAAGGTGATCGCCATGAACACCAAACCTATCGCTTTAATCATGATCAGATTTCATATTAATGTCTTCAAATTTACCTGACATAATGTCCAGGACACAGGCCGTTGGTTCTGTGAAGCTGTACAGCATTTTGGCCGGTATCATGGTAGCCACGTTCCTGATATCATTGGATGTTTCTATCATTGCTACTGTAAGCTCACTGAAACTTGCTGCTTTCATTGTGATCCTTCGGGTAACTAATCTCACCTTTCAAGGCCATCCCCTCGATATCGACTCAATTCCATGCTACGACAGACATCGGCTGGTATGGAGCTACATATCCACTCACGATGTGCGCTCTTCAACCTATCAGTGGCAAGCTCTCTTCGTTGCTGTCATTACGATGGACATACCTTTCTTTCTATGGCATATTCCTTCTAGGATCTCTGATATGCGGTGTGGCAAGCAGTTCCAAGATGTTCATAATTGGAAGAGCAGTTTCTGGTGCTGGAGGGTCTGGGGTAGTATCGGGTGGACTCTCTGTCATTGCGTTGATAACAACTCCGGAGCAACGCCCCCTGTTTACTGGGCTGGTAACATCTCTCTATGCTTTGGGGACTGTTGTCGCCCCAATCATCGGAGGCGCTCTAGCTGAGCATACCTGGAGGTGGTGTTTTCTCATCAACCTTCCAGCAGGAGCAGTGACTGTCGTGACGTTGCTTTTGTTTTTCCATCCTCCTCAAAGCACTGGGACACAAGGTGTGCCCTTCTTGAAACAAATTGATTTAATCGGATGCGCTCTCTTCATACCCTCCGTCATAATGGTGATGTTGGCGTTGCAGTGGGGAGGTGATGAGTATTCCTGGAACTCGGCGACCGTGGTCGGACTTTTTGTCGGCTTTGCCGTGACGATGACAATCTTCATCTGCTGGGAGTGTTACATGGGCGATGATGCTATGGTCCCTATTGTACTTCTATGGGGCAGGTCCACAATGCTTAGTCTTGCATTTGCCTTTTTGTTTCTGGGTTCATTCGTCATTCCGGTCTACTATCTACCGGAATGGTTTCAGATCGTCAAGTCAGCAAGCCCTATCCGCAGCGGAGTCATGCTTCTACCTTCGGTGTGCACTCAGGTTTTTGGTTCACTTGTCTGTGGAATGTCAGGTAATCACCGTACAATTTACTTCGTCTATGTACATTCTTTCTGACGCTTTATGACTATAGCCAAACACCTCAGATATTACAATCCGTGGCTCTTCGTTGGCTCTGTCTTTCTCTGCATCGCCAACGGTCTATATACAACATTCACTGCATTCTCATCATCTGCATCTTGGATTGGTTATCAGATCTTTCAGGGCCTGGGATGTGGATTTGCAGCCCAGATTCCTTTGCTTACAACTCAGCTTGTATTGAAGGACAGACCGCGGTACATTCCAGTTGGAATAGCGACTGTCCTCTTCACGCAATACTTTGGAAGTGCAGTAATGCAAAGCATAGGAGGCGCTATCTTCCAGAATGAGCTGAAGAAGCAGCTACAAGTTCAAGCGTCGTTGGATAATGAGCAGATCGAGATGCTTTTGAATGCTGGAACCCTAAGGGTGCGGGAAGTTGCTGGGCAGGCATTTCCAGACCGCTTATTCGATATCATCAATGCATACAATAAAGCCATTACGA